AAACAAGGGGAGATCACGTGTTTCCATTCCTGACTGCGCGCCACTACATACCCTATCCGCCTCCACAGGTATCGTTAAGTCAGGGACGGATGTACTGAATTGCACGGTGCAACGAAAGCGCGCGCGGTAAGCCTCACGCGTCGCGTTCGTCGCGGCTTCTCGCTCGTGAAATCGCCTTTCTCATTTTCCTTACGCACGTATAGAGCGGACGTTCCGTTCGAATCGGAAGGAGAACATCCTGCGTGAATCGCGAGCGAGCGAGCTCCGCGTCGCGTATCTCGTGGTTTTGCGCGGTTTTGCGAAGAATTATCATAGGAATCCAAGTCGGCCGCGGCAAGTAGCTTCGTTCAAGCGATCATCATGGTGTTGTAACGTATCCATTCCGGCGTAACTCGCGTTACATAATCGACTCGGGGATTTCACACGCGATTATACGAATAATTGTTCAGGCCTTGAGCTCGCCACGAGCTCTTTCGTTAAACATGTCTAGTTACGTGCGCCGTGATTCAGCGCTGCTTCATTTCCGCAGCATCCCGCCGAAATAAGCCTCGCCGTTGGACGATCCGACGTGAATGTCGTTGCAAAAATTAATTGGATCTCCATCGGCCGTGGAGATCGATATTTCTCTGGCCTACCGCGACCTTCGCGGAAACGTCTAGTCAGCCGCGGAGCCAGTTCCGAGAGAGCTCCGAATGTTTGATTATTATTCATTAACGCACGAGAGAGAGAGAGAGAGAGAGAGAGAGAGAGAGAGAGAGAGCAACGGTGATCGCGCGCGAGTCACGATAACATGATCCACATTGCCGTTTAATATCTGCCGCCTATTTATCGCGCCGAGTGTCCGCCTAGATTCGTCACGGTCGTCTCGTTTCGTGTATTTGCGGCAATTTCGTTCGCTCGAGCGCATAATGATAGCGCATAGCGCGTCGCATTGTTGAAAACTCGAGTGGATGGCAATTTCGCTGAATGCACAGCTGCACATCGCTGCGCCGCGGTACGTGCGATAAGAATGTGCGCATGAATGGAGAAATTAATTGAGAAAGTAAGAGTGTGACCTTTTCGCGCAGGAGTCACGGATTTGTACACGAAGAGAGACACGCGCGACACTCGATCATTAGAGTCTCATCGTTCCGTTTTGTATGCCTCGTTCCTCGCGATACTTTCACTCGTGATATTCCGCGTGCCGCGGAATTTTTCGGCGCAATTGGGTGCGTCGAATCGATAGGCATCGTCGTAAACGCGACCAAAGTTGTCTCGTGAGAGAAACATTATTCGTGCAATTAAATCGCTGCATTATTTCTCGAGCGAATCGGAGAGAATGGGAAGAAGTTTTTGTAACGTAAAATGTCGCTGTGTGCGTATTTCGCGCGTTGCCTAAATAAAAGCAGACAGCGCAGCACCTCTTTCGGTGAAATTCTCCAGATCAGAAGAAGCGATCTCGAATAATAAATATTTGATTCGCGAAAGTTGGCAAATTTCAGAGAAAACCTTGTGTAATTAGATCTCTTTAATAAGTTTGTTTTAAGCGGAAACTCTCGAACTCTTCGCGCGAGGCGCGAAAGTGTGCCACAATTTTATTAAGGTCTCGTCACTCGCGCGAAGAAACGCGAATTGTCGATCGCGTCGTGAATGGTATCGACACGTAACGTTGCGTTAGTAGTTTTTAGCGACTTGATTCACTTTACTCGGTTAACTCGCTGACAAAAGCGAGCACATGTGTCACTGTCGGGGGCCGCAGTCGGTGCGATTTAATCCTGTAATCGATCATCGTGCAATTTAATTCATTAGCATTTGTCCACCACTACAAATGTCACGTATACAACATTTTTCCATCCACTCCGCCGTCGAGCTCTTCCACTTGGTATCTCGCGCGCGCTCGACGACACGTGGACGACACGATTCGCACGCGCGAATTATGTCACCGGCCAATTTTTATCTCCATTGTCGTTCTCGCGAATGCCCCAGACGGGACTCTTTTCCTCGCGTTTCGGATTATCGACCCTCCGCGGTAAGAGCGGCATGCGCTTCTAATCTGGAGGTTAAAGGAATTTGCAACTTTCAAGAAATCCCGAGGCCTCAGCTCGAGACGGACCCTAGTCTGTCCTAGCCTGTATTCATTCGCCCGTTGCGAATGCATCCGGAGACGCGGCGTAGCCTTCCCTTTAAAAGCGATCCTTACCTGCGGTTTCGTATCGCTGCCGGCGGTATTCGAGCGCCGAGACGTTTCTTCCGTTACAGAGTCCACGTGCGGAGCGGACGCGCGATCTACGCTCTCGTATTAGCGATCGTTTAACTATTGGAAAGTACGAGCCGCGTGTTTTTCACACTTCGAAGGAGTGAGAGAAAAGAGACGAAGAGAGGTACAAGGCGCGCGCGGCGAAATTTCCGTCGCGGCGGAATCCGTCTGGACGTCGCGGAAATTAGGTCTCGCTCTCCGCCTCCTCGTAACGACGTTCGATTCTTCGCGGAATATAAACGTGCCAAGAAACATTGCGTGTTTGCGGAAGCGCGCGAGAGGAGAGGAGAGGAGAGGAGAGGAAAGCAACGGAAAAAGAGAGCTTCTCAGCTTCCGCTCGGTTCGAGCAACGATCGAGATTGAATCTTCTCTTTGCGGACTTTCTGTGTGTCGCTGAAAGACGCGAGCGAAAACGCATGGCGTCATTTGCCCTTAAGCGTCCACGTATATTGAATCGCGGTGCCGCATTTCCTATCGTCTTTGTTCGTGATTTCCATTGTCCCTCCCCTTTATCGTCCGTTCTATGAATCCACGCGCGTATTTGCGTAAGGACCGACGAGTGTAATGGCGTTCTTGTGTTGAATACTCTACAGCCGGTGTAACCAGATCCGCGAAAAGACCTATCGCTCCTGCGGACGGACGGCAGGACGGCCATTGTCGCGGGAATCTAATTTCCGAAATCTCGTGCCTCCGCGGCGGGAAACAGAGGCGGGAAGCGCGATTTTTCGAATTTGCGTAAGATTCGCAGATCTGCTTCGGCCGTGGCGTGGACTTGAAGGGAAATATCATGACGACGCCCGCGCTATTTTACGGCTGCGAATTTCTCATCAATTTACCGGCGACTTTTATGCGGCCCCTAAGCTATTTTTGTCGGGGCAACTTTGTCGGGGCAACGAGAGAGAGAGAGAGAGAGAGAATCTTTCACACGCCGCGCGATCTTTCTCTTCGGGTGTGATAAAGCGCCGACTGACAGCGAGTAATACATATATTTTAGGTTTATCGTATCGAAAGTTTCTTTCCGGTCTGCAACCGCCGTTACGGTCTGCCAGAGACTCCTCGGCATAATCGAACGAGCGGAAGATTCTACGTTCGTTTGAAACATCATACAACGTGCACTATCGTGTGATATACTCGGGTGCTAAATTTCGAACGTAACAGGTAAAAAATCTCGAAAACTATGAAAGATATTAAAAGAAGCCTGAAATATTTTTTGAAATATTTCAAAGGGAAACTTGATAACTTTTTCAACATTTACCTTACGATATCTCGCTGACTATTCGTCGAAAGAAGAAATAGTATCAGACTTTTTTACTTTATTTACTATCAACAATATATTACTATAATATAAGTGCCCCAACTTTTGTTAATTTAATAATTTTGAAGTTTCCAAAAGTCGATAAGTTAACAAAAATTAGGGGCACTATTATAGTGATATATTTTTGATAGTAAATAAAGTAAAGAAGTCTGATACTATTTCTTCTTTCGACGAATAGTTAGCGAGATATCGTAAGTTAAATGTTGAAAAAGTTAGCAAGTTTTTCTTAAATATTTCAAGAAATATTAGGCAAATAAAAAAATGTTTCAGACAAAAGTTGTTGAAATTAATTGGTAGAAAAAGAAGATACGATAAAAAATTGGGCTTTCTGTTTTAAAAAATTAAGTGCTTTTCCTTCAACTGACCGTGAAAATGTCCTCCAAATAAAAAATATGATAATGCCATTCTCTTTCTCCTTCGAAATAATGAAACACGTGTTTTAGCTTTTGTTAATATCTTTCATAATTTTCGCGATTTTTTACCTGTTACCTGTTTGAAATTCAGCACCCTGTATAGCGGCTGAATTTACTTCCACATGAGCACCGCGCGTCGTGCTCTTTCTACAAAATCTAAAAATATGAAAGAAAAGAATTCTCACACGGGGTATTATCGCCAAGTGTAACGCGGCACGTGTTCACCAGCGCGATTGATATCGCACGAGTGGCTGAAAATAACGAAGCGTCGCGCATCTCTCCTGATTGTCCTGATTGTCCTGCCTACTTCGCAGGCTCAGCTCGAACTAGTAGTTTCTCGATGTGACAATATGGGAATTAATTATTTGTAATGTATGTCGACTTGTCGCTTTTTTACTCCACGCTGTTTTGTACGTGCAGTAAGTAAACTTGAGGAACGATTACTCTATGCAAAGTTTCGATTTTAATCGTTGATTTACCTTCGTCGTTCTTGGAGATTCTTTGACTTACTTTCCATCGCGCGAACGTGAACTTTTTCTCAATGATGACGTTGTCGTAAGTGCGACACGTAAGTCAACATTGAATTAGTTGACACTGCAAAGTTGTTTAATTAACCGCGCAAATGCGTATATTCCAGCGTGTACTACTTCGCGGTAACAAGAGCTAGCAATTTGCTTCGTTCACGTTGCTGTGCTACGAGTCGCATGTGAGAAATATGTGGCAATAGCTGGTTATCCTTCACTCGAGTTATTCGTTCCAATAAATACAGTTGCTCGCTCGTTTATCCTTCAATCGAGCGATCCTTGAACATGATCATCGCGCACGTTTATCTCGAGGAGGTAAAGAGAGAAGAGACAGAAGATACTTTGGCGCGCTTAGTCCGATATCACAGTTTCCGTATGACGAGCGAATTGACATCGAGGAGAAGCAACATTTATGGTGTGGTGTGAAATTACACGAGAGAAAGAAAAGTTGGCAGGAGCGAGCGGAAATCGAATATCGATGTGTGACGGTGGGATTCCTCTTCTCATTTCAGGTCCCGCAGGCGTAGCGGTAGTGGCGTGACGGACGTACACTCTCAGCAACAGCAGCAACAGCTGCAAGAGAACAACAACAGCAGCTCGCGCGACGCAAAGAAGCCGCAGGAGGGACTGGGGCCCGATGAGATGTGGGCCCCTGGTGCCCTGGGCCATCATCGGGAGCTACCTGTTGATGTGCCCGACACCCTTCTACAGAAGGCCTATCCCAATAAGGTAAAGAATCGCTCTTCCGATTATAGGAACGGGCTACAGCACCGTCCTCCCCGTAGCGCTAGCGACCTCGACCTCGACCTCGACCTCGACCTCGACTTCGACCTCGACCTCGACCTCGACCTCTCCCTTAACCTTAAAAACGAGACCCTTAAGACCCGCACCATCGTGGACGGACGCGCTAGACTCGTATCGAACGACTGCACGGACGTCACCGATAACGCTAGGACGATCAACCTCCGCAACGGTCTTGAGCCGTCCATGCTGAAGATTGAGCTGAAGATCGAGGACGAGGAGGAGAAGGTGAGAGCCGTCAAGAAAGATCCGGGTCTTAACAAGTCCGGTCACGGAAGCCCGGCCGTGACCGGATCGCCGGACTTGAAGAGCACCACCTTCGAGGATCTCGAGGAGGAGGAGGAGGAGGAGGAGGAGGAGGAGGGGGAGGGGGAGGAGGAGGAGGAGGAGGATACCGCCGAGGACGCGGGTGGACAGAAAGAGTCCGGTGTCGACGTCGAGGACGACTATCCCTTCGCCAAGGAGGATTATCCTACCATGTTGAAGACCTGTAGCGACGATTCCGCGAGCCCGAGAAGTTCCTCGGGCAGATCAGACAGTACCGCGCCCCTCGACACCAGTCTGATGCTGAAATCTGCCAAGAATCGCAAAGATTCTCCGACTTACGACGTCAGAAGGATAGACCTCGGCTCTCCGTGCAGGTCAGTAGTACCTGACATCAAGGTAGCCCCTCTCTTCGGTCGTGCTCGAGACGCAACGTCCTTCGACAATCCGGCCTACGGACTAACGGACCTGCAGGATCTTCAGGGGCTGCTGATGCGTTCCGACGAAGTCTCAGATCTGACCCGACTGATAGACGAACAATGTTCGATCCCGAGGACACCGAAGGATCAGGATAAAGTCTCGTCCGCCCGTCTCAAGGATCAGCAGACGGAGCCTGCTCAAACCGAGCAGGTGGCGAGCAAGTCCGGCAAGAGCTCGAAACGTCGTCAGAACGACGAGCGAGCCAAGCTGAAGGCGGCGAAGACGCGCAGCTTCGACATCGAGGAGCTGATACGCGCAGGCTCGACCGACGATCTCATCGGCATCGAGCTGAGCAACCTCTCCTCCTCGTCTCGACAACGACCCAAGAAAAAGAGGCACCAGCAGATCTCCAGCGGCTATTCCACGCTGAAGAGCGAAGCCTCCGGCGATCTCGAGCATTCCGCCGTCGTAGATCGCAGCTTTCTCGTGGTGGGCGGCAAAGCTTACCGCGAAGTGGCGGTCGATTGTCCGCCGGACTTTGTACCGGTCACCAAGCGCCACCCTGTATACCCGCCGCCCAATAAGACCCCCGGCAACAGCAAGCACAACACCCTCGAGACGCCGAGACGCGATTACGAAAACGTCGCGAGGGAGGGTAACCTCGCGAGCGGCGGCGAGGGAAGTGTGTGCGCTACCACGACCGTGACCGCAACGGCAACGGCAACGGCAACGGCAACAGCAACAGCAACAGCAACAGCAACAACAACAACAACAACAACAACAACAACAAGCACGACAACGCTCGTAGCCTCTCCCTGCCTCTCCCCGAACGATAGTAGTCTCGCGACGCTGTCCAGTGCGGATGGTAGCGCTAGAGAGACCGTAGTCGCGCGTACAGTAGACCGTAAGCACGACGCCAAGAAGGTAAGGCTCAGAGTCAAGAGCTCGCTGTTCTACGACGGCTTGCACTCTGTCATGCACGGCGAGCGACGTTCCTGGCACTGCAATTCGCTTCACGCTTGCAACACGTATGCTTCTAACACGCTCGGGTCCGCCTCTAACGAACCTGTCCTGCGATCGTTCAATATGAATTTGGGAGACACGGACTTCATCGAAGGCACGGTGACGGGAGAGCAGACGCGCGCGTCCACCTCGAGCGAGTCTCGCGACTCTCCGGATGACGGTGGCAGGCACTCGTATGAAAATCCCGCCTACGTCGCGTCCTCCCAGGAGGACGTCCGCTGCGAAGACGCGCTCCCGCGTCAGAGATACCGTCGGAGAAAGAAGTCGGCGGGAATCACCGGTCGGGTCTCCTCCGTTCTTCGAAAACGCTTCCCTCGATGCCGGCGGGATCGCTCGGTTACTTTCCACCTGGACGGTGAAAAGATAGTCTTCCATGATTTCTTAACAAGGTTCAATGATCTCTCATCATACGCCGCGATTTCCTCCTGCGATACCTCCGAGGACCAAATTCTCGACTGTTCCGGCAGTCCGGCTAGTTCTCAGAAGGAAGCCGAAGAGGCTTCTTCCTCCACCAACTTCCTGAAAGGGATTATCAAGATCGAACGGGATTCGAGCTCGTCGCTCGAAGACGATATCCCGCTTGAAAATGTCGCGAATAGTCGCGCTGCTTTCTTCGCTCAACAGATAAATCAGAGCCGTCGAGCTCGTTCCTCGTGCGAGCTTTCTCTCTCGGAATATCCGTCCAACGACACGCTTGGTCTTGGCGATTCTTCTCCAGGTAGCAAAGGACGCTCCGATAATAACTATCGATGTCTGGCCGCCGACTCGCTGGACACGCACAATGGGGCGAATTCCAGCTTGTCTGACGAGAATAAGCGTTGGAGTCTGCCGAACATTTCGTTGAGGTTTTCCAGCAGTACCGTAAGATCTCGCAAAAGTTTCGCCAGTGAAACGGCTCTTCGGAGAAACGCGTCTTCGGATCCCAATCTTACGGAATTAACGGCCGATTATTCGGCCTTCATGATTCGTTTCTCGCTTTCCGACTCTGACTTGTACTGGTCGAAGATCTCGTCCTCGTGGCGCACCGTAAAGTGGGATCAAACGAATCGTTCGATGGCTTTATGCGATTCTCGCGAACATGCAAAACGAGACGACGAACCGACACGCACTTTGGAACACGGTGATATAAGTGAATTGCACGAAGACGTTCTCGAACAACAGGTAAACCGCAACAAACATTAATTTGCTGTTCAGGCAATTTCGCCTGACGAATCATTCGAACGGTGATCCTTGCACTTTGGACATTTTCAATCGCGTGCTTTTCCCTTAACATCTCAATCTCATCAGGATGACGAACGGTTGTTTCGGGAAACGAATTTCTTTCATTTTGTCGCATCGTTTTATTGCAAAGAGAGAAGAAAAAGAAAAGTGCAGAGACAACCGTTTAATTGAAGAGAAAAAGTGGAGAGCATGCATGTAGGAAATGTGGGACATCTATAATACAGCATTCTCTCTCTCTCTCTCTCTCTCTCTCTCTCTCTCTCTCTCTCTCTCTCTCTCTCTCTCTCGCTCTCTCTCTCTCTCTCTCGCTCTCTCTCTCTCTCTCGCTCTACTTCTGCTTGGTATTCTTGCTTTCGACATGCTTTCTTGTAACACACGCATCTCTCTCTCTCTTTCTCTCTCTCTCTCTCTCTCTCTCTCTCTCTCTCTCTCTCTCTCTCTCTTACTTTCTACCATATTAGCTTCCTCTCCCTCTCTCTCTCTTTCTCTTCCATTCTTTTGCGTGCCGCGATCACAGGGTTGCGGCTCCGGTAAGGTATTCTTGATACGACTGAGATATGAGTAATCTATTTCGGAAGTGACAAGAGAGATCGAAATAAAACGAAAAGAGAGATCCGGCAAAGTAATTTCCGCGACGCCAGGCACGTAGGGCCATTAAGACGAGTTGTTTGGAATGAATTTTTAGGCCGGTCTCAACGGGGTTAAACCTGCCATTCCACCTCGCGACCAGAAGAGGGCACCTGCCAGGCCGCCGAAGGACAATCTGCGTCTGTCCACGCAGAACAATAATGTCGAAAGCAGCGACAACGCCAACGCCGAGCCGACGCAACAGCAGCTTCACTCCATCAGGAAATATCAGGTAAGAGAGACCAGGCTGATATCGAGGCTGATGGCCAGGGTTTCTCGATGGTGTATTGTGTCGAGTCATGTAAGAGCGGCCACGATAAGCCTTTGAAAAGTGCGCGCACACATTGCAAGTCTCACACAGGAGAGAACGTGACGGAATGTCAGTCTTGTTTGAGGAAACAGAAAAAATGAAGACGCAAAAACACTGAGTATCCCGCCGTTTGCATTCGCAAATTATCGCCTTTCGCGCTTTTACATCGTCTTGTCAGAGTCGTCGTCCCTCCCCTCCCCCTCGTTCGGGACGCGAATTTGACAAACGACCGGTGATGAATGAGAGATTCAGAGTCTGTACAATATAATTCAACCCGATCAGAATCGCTCTTCGAGCGATTGTGTTTCGCGATCCACGCGAACAACGCATGTCGCATACCGGCGGGATTGACTGCGGCAATAACGCCGCCCGGTCTAGCTCTGCGAAACTTCCGCGACGATTCTATCCGCAAAAATGCTCCTTTTGCCATGGTAGACGATGGAATTTATGATTCCGCTCTGTGATCGAATTAAATTGTTTAATGGGCGACTCGGCGGAGAGGAGCGGGGAAATTTTTGCGGAAAGCTGCAATCCCGCGAGCGCATTTTGTACGGGGAAAACAGTAGCGAATCGTATAGCGTTGCGTAACGATGCGACGGCAGATGCGACGACAGATCGTTATTTGAAAGGACATACTACCACAATTCGCACGCCGGCCACGCGAACATTTGTGCATCAGGAAATTGCGAGCCGATGACAATGGTTGTTATTGAAGCGTCGCTCGACGCGCTATAGTTTTCGAATTTCCTACACCTACGGCCGAAGTTTGATTGATAAATGAGTCGCGCGGCGCTCGATCTTGCGAGTGTGCGACGCGCGAAATTAATCAATTAGGCGTATCCGTCCGCGGGACGCGCGACATATCCGCGTCGACAAATGTGGCGGGATTATTTAAACGAACATCCATTAGCGGCGGACTTGGCCGGGTTTGGTTAGGTTTTGTATATCAATGGGCCGCACCGAAGCGCGCTTTCCTCAAGTTCGTCAGCAGAGTCGACGCAGAGTCGACTGAGCAGAGGACGAGCATGAGAAAATCGCAGATAAGCGCGCCGCCGAAACAGCGCGCCGCGCACGGCGGTTCGAGTGCCGGTGCTTGAAATTCATGCGATCGCCCCGGTGTCGCGGCGAGTGTGAGAAATGCCAGAACATCTTATGCGACTGGCGTCGTCGGGTCCGAGTTTGAGTATGTTTATCTTATGAAATCCTCATGCCGCTTTACCTGCCTCAAGTCAAGTGTGGTCTGGAATGTAAAGGACCTGTTCTATACAATAGTCTAAGGTTACACGGCCCGACTGTAGCGTCACGAACTTTCGATAGGTGTAGACGCGCAGGGTGACGACTCGCCACGTCTGTGCCGAGTTTCTTTCAGCTCTCTGCTCCTTTTCCTTCTCCCGTCCCTCCCGTCTCTTCCTTCTTTCTTCTGTTTCCTTTCTTTTTTTCTTTTTTTTTTTTTTTTCCTTTTTGTTAGGATGTCTTCTCCCTGACCTCACGGTTTCTTGATCTGCCTCAAGCACGAACCGGCCGGCGCGCGGGCGTTCTAGAATTCCGGGCCGAATAGCGTCCCGCTCGAAACGCGTATCACGAAATAACGGACGCTTCGAATTGAATTTTTGTCTTCTCTTCAATTTGTCGGCTACAACGCGTCGGCGTCGCCCGAATATGCCGCGTCCCACATTTCGTACCTTCCTCTGATTTGCATCTTTGCAAATATTTCCAGATATTCGCGGCTTCTAGTCCGCTAATCCTCCCGAATTCTTTCCAACGAATACCGAGCGCTACAAGCGCGACAAAACGCTTCCTCTCGCAAAGAAATTTTATCCCGTTACTCAATTACACGCGCGAAGTGGCGCGAATTAATTGGCATTGCAGTTAAATTACGTTTGGAAGAAAAATTGCTCGCACGTGTCGCGCTCTCTCTCTCTCTCTCCCCCCCCCCCCTCTCTCTTTCTCTCTCTCTCTCTCTCTCTCTCTCTCTCTCTCTCTCTCTCTCTCTCTCTGGTTGGCTCTTGTGAAAAGCGCGTTGGTCCTTTTTTTTTCCCTCCTTCGAAGGAGCCGATATTTATCGGAATTCTTTTCATCGTCGTGATCATTAACACCGACCTACGCACGCAACATTCCTAACGCGCTTCATGTTGGCCGTCGTCGGTCTAACGCGCGCGCTACCTAAGCTCAGGTTCCACGGGAAACCTTACGTCCTCTACGCCGCGGTAAACAGGGCTTCGCTGAAATATTTCTATCCTCGTAATATCACACTACTATGGGCCGGACCCGTTATATAAATGAAAATTGCAAGGAAGTATGTCCGCTGCGTGCGCTGCCCGCGCGACATTCTTTATCGTCGGCCGCGCGTGGCCGTCGTACGCATCTCGCGATTTTACGACGGCATGCGAAACTCATCGGCTCTGACTAGCCCCGATCTCTTTATCAGCCGACCACCACGGTCATCGGTGGGCGTCAGATCATCGAATCATCGAATAACGCGGATGATGATAGCATACGACGAATTTGCGCAGCAACTCGATTGCGCGCGAGTGGCGCGGTTGAAGATTTTCATCCGAGATAAAAATGTCCGGTCAGAGTCAGATTTCGCTGAATGTATCGTGTGTGTGTGTGTGTGTGTGTGTGTATCGAAAGTAAATTCGACAATAGCATAAACTTTGCTGAAAGCGAACGAAATAGGGATGCCGATTTGAAATCGATTTAATCGAAGATCGAGCCTAATCGGAGCCTCCTAAAAGGCCCCGATTTCGAAAGTCGATTTTCTGGAACTGAATCGATTCAAGGATCGATCTGTAAATTCTGAAAATCGCCAACACGATTTTTTCAGTTTCTGCTAGCAGTTCATATAGCAGTTTTTCTTCTTTTTTTTTTAATTCTTTTCAGCGGAACGGAACGCGCGAACCAAACACAGCCACTCCATATAATAGTATATATTATATACATATGTATATGCATGTAATAGTAAACGTGATTTCTTATTTAACAACGTTTAAAAACTCCTGATTGATGTTCAATCAAACCAATTAAATCCTTGGCATAAAGATTTAAAGATCTTTCTCTATCTTGTTGTGGCCATACACAACACAACCAAAAAGAGTAAACCATCTGTTTAATTTCTTTAATTCATATTAAACTTTATATGAATTACACGAGGTCTACTTTAGAGTGTAGAAATTGGACAGATAGTAGTATACCTTAATGAGTGGTTCACTTTACCGATGCATACCGATTCAAATCGATTTTCTGAAATCGATTCTTTACAAACCGATTTTTCCCCCCGTAATTCGAATCGATCTGTTTGAGAAAAAAAATCGGCATTCCTACAACGAAATGCAACATCGATTCCACTTAGAGACGACCGATAGAACGCTGCACGACGCGCGTATCGACGCGCCGCGCCGCCGCGATTTAGTTGAAGCTAAGAACTAAAAGCGTACCACTCCTCTCGATATAAGTCGCTTCGGAATAATTGACGAGCCGATACGATATCTACTCACGAGGACGTTTGATCGCCGAGATTGATATCGTTCAAGGTCTTTTTATTTTTGCGCGAGCCGCAATTCGCGTTTGCAACACGCGGTAATTACGATCGCGTTTGAAATTCAGCATCTCAGCTGAAGTATATTAAATATCCTTTGAAGGAAACTGTGTCACCAAGATATATTGTGTATTCAGATAGCCATCTTCCGAGTAATCGGAAACTTTGGACGATCTCCAGGGTTATGAGAGAAAGAGAGAGAGAGAGAAAGAGAACAGAGATGAGAGTTATGTCTCTCCTACGACATTTGAATTCCATCAAACTTTTTTTATATCCCGCGCCGTTTATCGGATCGTTTATCCGGTTATGTTTATCCGGCACATACAGGAACAGTTACGGAAGCGAAAGGATGAGGAGGAGAGGCAGGAAATACTCAGTCGTTCTCTCCGTGGCTCTAAGAAGCTTCAAGCCTTGGAGAGCCACGCGACGAGTCTCTCCGGTCAAGAAAATCCTGCTTACGCACAGGACGAGGTGACCACCGGCATCAGTCGAGTTGTCAGTCAAGCCACTCCGAATGCGGTCCAAGAAGTGGAGGAGCCTCCCAGACCCCTCAGTAAGTCGTCACTCTCTCTTTGAAATATGCTCACGCAAATTCCCCAGAATGGAGAAAAAACGATGAAAAAATATATACAATTTAGGAGACATGTCAATCGACAATCCTATTGAGCGCAGAGAGCGGTGACACCTAATCCTCTTCCATTTGGTGCATCGCGATTTATTCCTACGTACACGCTCGCCTCTCCCGGGGGGAGTCTAATTGTATAGTGTAGTAGAGAGTTCAAGTCTCGTCCAATCTGCAAACACACGAAAGTTGCATTTAACAGATTTGGGGAATTGCGAACGCTCTACTAAATGAGGTTCTTCGTTCTGTTGCCGTGCACTATTCGGCACGGTGCGATAATAAATACGTAAATAAATGGCGAACACTGCGACACGAGATTCCGCGAGAAAGTCTCTAACACAAGTGTGCCTTTCATATTTCAGCGTATGGAGAGGTCGTTGCTACGCTGGAGAGGCTGCAGCTTCAACTGCGGAATATTTCAGGTGCTCTCGGTATTTCGGGTTCAGGTGTTGAGGCCGAACTCGAAGCGGTTCGGACGCTTTTGGTGCAAAATCGATTTGCGAGCGCCTTGGCGACGCGTCACACCTTGAAGAGTCGATTGAGGGCGAGCAAAATTTTTAAACACCACGCGGATGACGCATCGAGCCTGGCGCGGGACGTACGTAAAATTTGTACTTTTCTACGTGTGTAACGATAATATAGCGTGTGAACCTGCCTTCACTTTCACGATATACCGAAAATCATTCGAATTTCGATCAGCTAGATAAATCGAAATTCGATTCGCTCGCGCGCAAGTAAGATCTGAATTGTTGTCTGCTTGTTGATGTTTCAGTGTGTGGATATCCTAGAAAAATGGCAGTCGTCGGCGACCGCAACAGGTGTCGGCGGAGCAGAAACAATAGCCGCGGTGGGGGAGTTAACGGGCATTCTAACGAGTTACGACATGGAAGCTCTGCTCCTCGCGCACGATTCCATCGTCTCGTATGTGGACGGCTTACAAAGGAAGCAGAGCCCGGCGTCTTCACCACCCAGCGGCCCGCCCAGTCCTACGAGCAGTTGGAAGGACTCTCGAGTGGTCGACAATATCAAGATCATCCGAATCGAGAAGACGAACGAACCTCTGGGTGCTACAGTTAGAAACGATGGAGACGCGGTGATTATAGGTAGGTACTAATCCTAACGAGCAAAATGTCACAACAGTACGACGTTGTCGGCGGCATTGATGGCAGAAAGTCGAGCGGGATCTGTAATATCCGTTCCTAACGGGTGCAATTTAAATACGCAATTTTTAAATGGTTACAAAATGATCGATGACTTGCCGTTATGTCTTGTTTTTCATGTTAGCAGATTTCCGCTAACGGTGATATATTTCTGCTAACGAACTGTCGTTTGTAAAAAAAAAAAATCTGTTTCTGTAGTTTGCCTATCTGGAAGTACAAGTGCATGAAAACAAGTGATCTCTCCGCTGATGATTCCTTCGCGTGTTCCTTCAGCGTAACATTTACGAACGATACGGCACGTTTGTTGGATTTTCTCTTGCCTTTTCTTTAGGACGCGTCGTACGTGGCGGTGCGGCGCACAAGTCGGGTCTCCTGCACGAGGGTGACGAGGTCCTCGAGGTGAACGGAGTAGAAATGCGCGGCAAGACCGTCAATGAAGTCTGCGATATTCTCGCTGGTATGCAGGGCAGTCTCACATTCTTGGTACTTCCGGCTCCGACAAGTCACAGGAATAATTTATCCAGCAGGAGAGAAGACACGACACAGGTATACAGCGCACGTGGTGACACATGTCCCGATATATTTAGCACATCCTTGCGCTAGAAACGTACGGATCCCCACGTATCCGAGTAGAACTAGAACAACCCGATATTGTCGCGACATTCGCGGCGAGGCTGGAAGAGCAAATGTCAGAGACGGATCGTTCTTGCCCTTCAATCGCCGAGTAGCGAAATAACATCGATTATCTGTTACTGTTCGGAGAGCGCTTTTACGATTCGTCCGTAGCTCGCGTCCGCAGCTCGCGGAGATCACGTCAGTATCATTTAAGGCGCTTTACCGCCTACGTCTCCACGACCTACGAGTTTGTCGCTCGACTCTCGTGCAACGCGTGCATCGACTGAGCTAAAACGCACGCCAATGTACAAAGGCGATACGTGAATATGTGACGCGAGACGTGACATTTCTTCCTTTGACCGTAAAACAAGAGACACTGATATTTGAACGAGCGAGCTGCATGGGTGTGTTACGTGTGTGTGTGTGTGTTACGTTGCATGTATAACTTTGCAAAAATAACAGAACGATGTACAGTTTTCGCGCCGCTTTCGACTCGCATGGATACTCTCGCAAAAAGAGAAAAAGAGAACGGTAGCTTGATTCGCGGTGGATAACGGCGCGGTGGATGCGCGGCGCTCATGAAACCGCGCTGATGAAACGTGTGTATTCTTTTCACATTTAGATACATATACGAGCCCATTTCGATTACGATCCCGAGGAAGATCCGTATATACCATGCAGAGAGTTGGGCGTGAGTTTCCAAAAGGGTGATGTGCTTCATGTTATTTCCCAAGAGGACCCCAACTGGTGGCAAGCATATCGGGAAGGCGAAGAGGATCAGACACTGGCTGGTCTGATACCCAGCAGAGCGTTCCAACATCAGTGAGTACCGATACTCGAATACTCGAATACTGAGAGAGCGGCATGCTGTGTTGTTACATTGCCAGATTCAAATTTGCCAAATTTACACGCATAATATTACCGTTCGCTACGCACAGACGAGAATCCATGAAGCAAACGATAGCCGGCGACAAATCGACGGTGCGGGGCTCGAAGAAATCCAGCACGCTGTTGTGCGCGAGAAAAAATCCAAAGAAGAAGAAGCGAAACAAGTTTGGGTCGAGCTTCAACGACGACGGGTATCCCCTTTACGCGACTACTGCCATAGATGGTAGGTATGGATGGTGAAGAACGCGGACGAACGAACGAACGAATCGATTCGATTCGATTGCAATTGCGGACTCCGTTAGAAAAGAAAAAAACAGTCATCAGTTCCAACGAGAAACGTTTTTCTTCACAGATTACGACAGCGAGGAAGTGCTGACGTACGAAGAAGTCGCCTTATACTATCCTCGAGCAAATCACAAAAGGCCAATTGTACTGATCGGACCTCCTAACATCGGACGACACGAACTTAGGCAGAGATTGATGCAAGACAGCGAACGTTTTGCCGCAGCCATTCCTCGTAAGTGTCGCTCCTAGATTGCACAAAACTCAAAGATTGCGCGAAACAAATGAAAATTGTAGATAGATATTAATCTTGCGAATGTAAATGAGTCAAATGAAAACACGCTTATAACTTACTTTCCAAACCACCAGATACAAGTCGTCCGAAGAAAGACTCCGAGGTCGACGGTCAGGACTACCATTTTATTTCACGTTCTCAGTTCGAATCCGATATCCTCTGTCGGAAGTTCGTCGAGCACGGCGAATACGAGAAGGCGTATTACGGCACGTCTGTGGAGGCTATCAGGACAGTGGTTAATTCCGGGAAAATCTGTGTCTTAAATCTTCATCCCCAGAGTCTGAAGATCCTGCGAAATTCGGATCTGAAGCCGTACGTTGTGTTTATCGCACCGCCGAGCCTCGAGAAGCTGAGACAGAAGAGGATCAAGAATAACGAGAGCTTCAAGGAGGAGGAGTTGAAGGACATAATCGAGAAAGCGCGCGAGATGGAGGACAAGTATGGCCACTTGTTCGACATGCTCATCCTGAACAACGATACCGATCGGGCGTATAATCAGCTTCTCACGGAGATTAATTCACTCGAGAGGGAACCTCAGTGGGTGCCTGCGTCTTGGATTCAGTAACTAAGTAAAGAGCGGTGTTAAGCGGCCACGCTTAAGGCCGCTCATCGAGCATCGCCTGCGGCACGTGCTCGATGAGAAACGGCGAGTCGGAGGCCAGTATTGCGGTATCTGTTTGCAGGACAAGTGCTTTTAAGCGTTTCTCCAAGCGCGCGAGGCTTCGCGCGAGTCCAATGAAGATTTGGAGGACTGGTTCTTCTACAGGTGCCTGTTATATATAGTTTTATGTTTCTTACGCAAATCTCTCGAACCTTTCCCGAGTTACTATACTGCAAGTACTACCCGTCTGAAAGAGTCTTCCGCGTGTGTGTTGTCGTACTATGGTGCCATGCCAAGCAACGGAGGATCATCGGAAACAATCCTCGAGCGAGAAAACGAAAGAGGAAAGGGAAGGAGGGAAGGAGAATGAGAGAAAGGGGGAGGAAAGAGAGAGGGGAGAGAGAGAGAGAGAGAGAGTTAGAGAGTTAGAGAGTAACGTGCAGGAAATGATCGCACCTTTGCGACGCAGACAGAGAAATCCTCGACGTGGATCTTTTGCGTAGTTTGGAGTAGAAGCAAGAGAGTATATTCACCGCCTGTATTACTGTGACGACGGGCGTTCTCGTAGCTCGGTTGCATCAACGATGCTTCGAATTTGAGTGACGTGTATAATCAAATCGCGGACGATCATCGGCCGAATTTAGATTTAAGTTACGCTTAAATTTCAAACAGAGTCGCTGCAGCTCGGCCTACGTCACGGTATACGTACGTATTGATAATGTCTCGAGGTAAAAACGTCCCGACTGAAGGACGACGAGTTCGTACGAAGCTCCCAAAGTATTTATGGTTACGTCCCCAGACTGATAAACGATTCACTGTTATATAGACGCGCGAACATTGATGAGGTATCATTCTTTCGGTGGCACCTGACAGCTCTGCCGAGCGTGTCTCGCTCTCTTTCTACACTTTAGTCCATCCTACGTGAGGGAACGTACCTGACCCGATGTCTCCTGATTAAAGTGAAAAATTTCTAATTGTCGGGGACTCGTGAAAATGCTGTGTAAATTTCTATGATCATGCATATACACGTATACGTTTTGATAAACTTTGATAAGTGGGGACAACCTCGATCCTCGAATCTTTTTTAAAAGATAGCCCTCTCTCTCTCAGTATAGCGAGTGCAAACATCTCGACACGTTGCGGAGAATCTACGTAGAGTCTACCTACTTTCTTTGCGTTATCGCACTCGGATCATGTATATCGTACGAGCCACGTACGACAACAAACACTACCGCATACGATCATAGAAAGTCACATATTTTTTCACGGTGACTTTTGATTAGAAATTTTTGCCAATCCTGCTTCTACTCTAACCGAGCGGAAGCTCGGTGTGTTATATCGTCAAAACAAAAGAGGAAAGAGATACGATAGAAGGGATGAGAAAGCGAGAGGGAGGGAGAGAGGGAGGGAGAGAGGGAGAGAGAGAGAGGGGGAGAGAGAGAGAGAGAGAGAGAGAGAAATTCCGAAACGACGGTCCCACGAGTATAACGATACATAATATATCTCTTCGAACGCAAGAAGAAGCGTCTATGCGATCTCGAAGAAGGGTGAGACTCGCTAACGTTTCACCTACGTTCGTCCTAGACAGTTTCGTGTTTGTTTAGAGAGCAGAAACTCGTGTTTCTCTAACCCGTAGATTCGTTAAACGCAATAGACTTAGACTCGACTGTGGTTCGGTATACAAGCTTTCGGAAATTTCGCGTAAGAAAATAAAAAGAAACGATTTTTTCTCTCGAGTGTTTTTTTACAGGAAGCGATTACTACGATGCGTCAATAGGATAAAAGGTGTTTATCTGTGTCACTGTGCCGCTACGAATAGGGATCGATATGAAATAAGAAAAAAAAAATGAAGTAAAATAAAAATAATAGAGAAAATCCACCGCGATCTTTCGTTGGAAATTATACCGGTTCGGTCACATCGCATTGTAGCAAGCGCGCGCGACGTGTGTCTTGCAGGTATTCTTGCGTTAGCAATAATTGTGTATCAACGGAACGAGAGTCTATTTTGTTTTCCAATCCAATGAATTTACACGACTCTGGTAAAGTTGGCAAAGATGTGTCATCAGTTCGTCTAGAGACTGTGTGGGCTACTGTATCGTGATTAGATCAGTCGTAATGTTAGTCGATCCAGATCGAGAAAAGATAGATACACTAAATTCAATGTGAAACAGTTGTAAAAGTGGACGCGCTAGAGAGATGTCTTCGGTGAAAAAAAAAAAAAAAAAAATCATTATCTCCATTTTTAGCTATTTAAATCGATTCTTCTAAGCCAATCAATGCATGACGGTTCAATATCGTGCCAAGTATCAGACCGCATGTGAAAGGACGCAAAACTGAGATGTGCCAAATAATTCTGGATTATTTCCAGAGGAATCCAAGTTTTAAAGAAATGCGCTCAAAGGCACCTTAGAATTTGTCATTATACTGAGTATGTAAATAATTGTGCACTTGTATAGAAACGAAGAGAACGAGGAAAGGAACGTCACGGACGATAGTTACTCGAATTCTTATTATTTTTATAATTATTAATTACTCTGAAATTACTATTATCATTGACACATCGTTATTGTATATTTCCTGCTCTTTTGTCTTGAGTGATCATGATAGACCAATGTGTTGTTGACGTGTGTGGTTCTCTATGTAACCGATGGATTCCGCGGAGAATCGCGTTTTTATCCAGCTCATATATCTGTGTCAAATCAGCGAATCAAATTTTTGACAACAGTTCCTCACATGGCAAACTTGTACGTTGACTAATTATGTCATAATTATTATGATCATTATACATATGATTCTGATTGTGCCGTCATGATTATGTAGACAACAACGGTGAAAGTATGTACATTATTATTCTTATAATTATTGTTATTATTATTATTCATATATTATTAATTATATTAATTTTATGTGTAAAATAAACGGAGAACTTTAAAGAGAAGAGAAGAGAAAAGAAATATATATATATATATATATTATACATGAAGAGAGAGAGAGAGAGAGAGAGAGAGAGAGAGAGAGAAAATATGCATACGTACGAATGTATATAAATCGCATATACACATACACACATGTATCGCGAGAGTCAAAAGATTACTGGATCTCGAATATACGGCCAAAAAAATTCCCGGTTACAGAAAATAATATATTGTTTCTATTGCGTTATATACATTTCCACTGTTATTACCGTTTCAGTAATATAATTCAACGTCAGGTTATAAAGACTTCTTATTTCGCGTTGGTAAGTGGAGACCAAAGTCCATTCCACTCACCACCGTTTGATCCCACTGTTAAGAAATAAAAAAAATTTATTTCGCACGTGTTGTGTCGAGTGGTACTATTTGAAAAATAAAGGTGAAAGATCCTCTCTGACTATGCATAGACATGAGCGATATCATCTCGAACATTTCGGCATCGATTACGTTTATCTCATAGAGTCGATTATCGTATGATATTTTTCCATCTTGATTATTCCCTAGATGACCGGTTTGGTTCGATATTACTAGAATCGTTTAATAGCGCCTTTACGAGCTAATTTCAGGTCTCTCGACAAAATTTACCGACTTTCGTAAAATTTAGCCGAGACAAAATCAAGCCTTTTCGAATAGTACTCGTCGAATTACGTAAGATGATCTCGAATTTTCTTTCCGTCAGAAATTCCCGAGAAATTCAAACCTTTCCGGCTACGAGTTTTTCATTAATACCGTTAGATGTCGTCGGTAGGTAGACTAAACTTTCCGCTGCGAGTCACCATTGATTCTACTGACAAATCCAAGTCGTAATTTTCAAAGAGTATAGCTCGCTGCAACATGAAGATTCAAATATTACTTTATTTTGCAATTATGACTGCTCAACAGCAGGCCAGAACCTTTCGTTTTCAAATAGCATGAGTCAACGATAGGTGAGAGGATCTTTTCTTTTCGAATATCACAATTAATCCAACGACGAATTTCAGACGAATTTTTCACTCTTCGGTAACATGACTGAACGGTCTCGAGTAGACATTGTCGTTCCTATTTGCTTCTGAGAAATAAGAGTCGTACCGTTCTTCTAACATTATCGTCCTCTCTCGTGATTTTGCTGAAAGGTTTCATTTCAGGTACGCGACTACCGAAAAGATGTTGCGCGTTAAGACGCGCGTTACGCGCAAGATCTTTCTCTTGATTTGTCGTTATTATTTTTTTATACTATTCTCAATGTAAGCGCTCGTAGAACGTTGCGGTGAGTTTCTGTGTGAGTAGCGCACTTTGTCGAATTTGTTGCAACTCGTTTACTCGTGATAATTCATCGATGCAACTGAAGTGGCCCCTACAGCAGGCAACGGCGTGGAACGTGGGTGTCAGGGTGATCCTAGGCTATCGAATCCCAGGGGCGTTCTGACCTACTTCTGGGCCCTAGACCACGTTTATTATTAGGCTATTGATACATGGACAATCCGTACCGCACGTGCATGTAAGTTATTCGCGTTATTCGAATATATACATCGAAATCAAATCTTTCAAATTACCGTATGCGACTTTTGCGACTTGATTGATATTTCCGGATAAATCACCGAGCTTCTCGGATAATCGAGGCTGCGGAAGTGGCTGAATGAATTTCAGAAACGACGAATTACGTTTTCTCCGAGCGACGAGCCGCAAATTATTCTCCCTCTCGTTCCCTCGATCTCGTCATACGCTCCCCCCCGGCGAAGGGTACCGTCGATTTCTCGGACCGCCGACGTCGCGACGCTTCGCGCTGCGCTGCGCCGCGGCGCGGCGCGACGCGCCGAAGGCGGTGGGTGGTCCGACCGCGCGCATGTTTCTTCTCCGACGGAAACGGATCGATGCTGGAAATAGCTCGGCCCGCAGGAGAGTACGAGGTGAGTCGCCTTTGCTTTCGGCAGGGCTTTCGCGCCTCTCTCTCTCTCTCTCTCTCTCTCCTATCTCTTTCTCAACACCCGCTGCCGCCGCTACCGCTGTTCGTTGCTCGTTTTCGGAAAATAAATAAGCTTCCGCTCGCGCAACTCGTCGTTGTCTTCAACCATCTGTCTTTCCTTCTCGCATACGGCACAGCCACTGCTGCCTCCGCCGCCTCCGTTTCCACCGCCGCCACCGCCGCCACCGCCGCCGCCGCCGCCGCCGCCGCCGCCGCCGCCGCCACCGCCGCCGCCGCCGCCGCCGCTGTCGCCGCTGTCGCCGCTGTCGCCGCTGCTGCTGCCGCCGTCGTCACCACCGTCGTTGCCACCACCGCGTCGTCATCATTGTCGTCGTCTCGGTTCTCTATCTCTCTTTCTCTCGAGCGAGTGTGAACCGGCTGCGAGTCCGAGCCACCCGGACCCGGGAGTGAAGCCGAGCAGGATGACGCGAAAAAAATGTGTACCGCACCTACGTGGCGACTGATGAGGCTGAAATCGTGAGTATTACGTATACGCACATTATACGACACACTCCAAGGGCACCGCTCGCCGCTACCCCCGGCAGGCGAAGCCACCGAGCTCCATCGTGCCGAAAGGCGAACAAGGGTGCACCACCCCCGCGACGGTAGGCGGCTGTCGTAGACGCATTCGCGAATTGATCGGCGCTCCGGCAAGCGCGAGAGCACCGCAATCCGAAAATCGCGATTGCGAGGCGTCTGTGTCGGAGAGAAACGGGGGAGAAGCCGCTGTTTCCATCGATTTTTTTCGGCTTTTCCGGCCGCAACAGGCGAGAGCTACATCCGCGAGACCGTGAAGCTTGTTCATTGATCTCACGGCGTTGAGCTCACGGCGGAATCTGACGTAATCGCGATTACGCGGATTATCGGAGCCCGTCCCCCCGGACGGGCCTGGATGGGACTGTTCTTCGGCGCAGTTGTACGCAATTAGGATGGAGCACGCACACCCGCTCTCAGAGCTCCGGCAGAGGATGAAGCCTTCGGCCGCTGGTCGTAGATGTTGCTCAATTCGTAACATATACGTAGTATCGTGCCGTTTTCGCCTCTTTTATAGTTGCACGTTTGATTGATTTTATCCGCAGTGTGGTCCGCGCTCTTCGCGCTGCAGCTTAACAAGTAATAAGTGCTTCGTGGTAGGGGGTAGAAAATGTGAGACGACTTAGTGTTGTACTCATTACCAATTGACATTCCGCGCGCATGCTAGAAAAAGTGTCGTCCTTGTCGTCGTCGTCGTCGTCGTCGTCGTCGTCGTCGTCGTCGTCGTCGTCGTCGTCGTCGTCGTCGTTGCCGTCGTTAATCGTAAGTTATATCACATTTATACCCAATTCCCGTGCGCTATAGCACACCCTCTTTGATCTTGCCTCGATTCTGTGCTAGTCACTAGCTTCAAGAGTCGTTACTGTCGTTTGTTGTGGATTTTCAGCCCTGTTTGTAAGATAATGGCATGTCTCCTTTTTTGGTTAAGTGATTAGTTGTCGCTCGATGAAGACGTCAGAATGAAGGGTGCGAAGAACTTGAGGAGCGATTCGTTTGAAAATTTGATATTGTCGTCGCACTGTAGAATTGCCAAGTAAGCTTCCAATTCACTCTGCCCTTTTCAGTCGAGTGCTTTCAGTCGAGAAGGTTTGACTTGATCGGAGGATCTAATACGTAGTAAGTGCGTTATGTGTCTCCGAGGCGATCACGAGGACCCGGGAGGAAAGGCCGCAGGCTCTCAAACCGCGCACATAAAGCTGTATGCCAATGTAAGAAAGAGCAAGTCTTGATGAAAAAAAGGTCTCCTCGAATCCGCACACGACAGGATGAATCGTCGGCACAGCAGTTTCGTCCGAACCCTTTCGGACGCCGTAGATAAGATTAGTAGGCGATGGAGAGAGCGGCGCGGCGGCACTCGTGCTGCTTCGTGTGCACCTCGCGTTGGCCCTTGTGCGCTTCCGTAAATGTAGCCGACACAGCAACGATCATTAGCAGAGAGTCTGCTGTACTACACGGTAGAGAATGCAATAAGACTCTCGAGAGAGACCTGATCGATCTCGGTGCGGAAAAGGGTCATATCTTCGACGGTGTCTTCGTTTCCTATCGCGGTCCCGCGGTCGACCGCATCGTCAGAGGGACACACGTCTCTCTCGCGCGAGTCGCGCGCGGCGTACTTTCATAACTTCTGGTCAAAACCTCGCGGATTATTGATTTTTCTCACCGCGTGGTGCGCGCGTTATTTCGCCAAGTTCCAAATTCGTCTCGTCCCGCGATTACGCGAGCGTCTCGTCACGTCGGCGGCTCGAGGTATCGAATAGAGCAGGAGAGAGAGAGGGTGGGGGAGAGAATTCGCGCATGAAGGGAAAGAAAACCACGAAGACGTCGCCGGTACAAGTGACCGTAAGCCGCCGTAATAAATCCGAGTTTCTCTCATATTCAGCAGCTTCGCGATTGGCTTCTGCGTAAAACGCGTAAACGCGTCAGGCGCGCATAGAATCGCCGGAGGTCGTAATATCGCCGCGAGAGATGTTACAACCGCAGGCTGCGTGACAGATGCGATTGATTATTGGATTTTGGATTTTGTCGCTCGTCGTCGCGGTATGACCCAATTAAATCGATGAGCTAGATGAATATCTTTATGGAACGTCGTCCGACGATGCTTTTGTAGTAAATGGCGCTCTCATTTACGGTACGGCTACTTATTTTGGGGAGGCGGAAGGAAAAAGCATATGTAGTTTTACGCTCGCCGTTTGATTCGACCCGACGATCAAGTCGGCCGCTGATTGCGCTTGTTTCCTCAACAGTGCTCGAAAGGCGAGCACGTCGCGCAGGCTTTTATTATTAGTTAACGAGGATTCAGCCTGGATGCCGCAAATATTTATAAACGTGCACTCGAGTGCGGGAAACGGCGGAAGACTCGCTGACACGAGCCATCCAGTCGATCGCTCCACTTTGGAGCTCGTGTATGCGCGAGCATCAGCCTGGCGAGCCGAGACGCCGCGCCGTTTCAAGTGTGAGAAATTTTTTTATCACGCGTAGGTCGTCACGAATATTTACACGCATGTTTTCTCTCATGGTGAAATTATCCGAGCGGTCTGAAAGCGGTGGGCGCTTACAGATACACACACACACACACACGCACATCGCTCGTTGCTTTAGTCGCTCTTCGAAGACTCGTCTCAGCCGCGCTCAGCGGCGGCTCTTCAACGCTTGGACTCGCTGACGGAGACTCGTTAACGGAACGATCTGCGCTTTAACCATGTGCTGTGCGACTGTAAGCTGAATTTTCCTCCGTCACGAAGATCGCCGCGGATCTCGCTCTTTTTTTTCTTTCGCGTATCGATTATAGTTTCATGACACACACAGAGACATGTATTCCCATGTACATGCGCGCCACCACCATTACAATGGACTAGTGCTACTTCGCAGCAAAGCTGCTCAGCGACCCGTGACGAAACGTAACGTAGGGGTTTGTGCATTTGTGTAAGGACAGAGATGGTTACTACACCTAAGTGCAACGTGCAGCACGTGAGCTGCGTGTTAATAAACAGAATGTCACATTCGACGGTTTGCGTGAAGACCACCCAAGTGTTCGCCCCCCCCCTCCCCCCTCCCTGATCTCCTTTAATATCTTGCAACGTCGTCGGGGCAACGAGAGAGAGGGAGAGAGAGAGAGAGAGAGAGAGAGATGTGCAATTTGGCTTCTCTTTTTAAAGAGACTCGTTGCCAAAGTATGTGGATAAATAGTGGCGATTTAGGTGGCGTTGTTTCTCTGTTTCTTTTTCTTTTCGATCGATAATTCATGGCCGGCAAGCGCTCCGGCTATCGGAGACACCGATGACACGTATCAACGAAATTCCGAAAGTCGACAGACCGGATTCGAGAAGGGTGTCGCTTGATTGAAATGCAAATACACATATGCCATACACCGTATCGTAAGCTCAGTGTTGGCATTAGCGTATGTAATACGGTCATTTGCAAATCAATCGCACGTTACACCCGATGTTTGAACTTGGCGTAAGGTGTAATTAGCGGCAAATATGCGAATCTCATTCGTGTGTGAATATCTTCAGCACCGTTCGGAAGGAACCTCCTCCTCGCATTGTCGCGATCTCGAAATATTTCTGCGTTGTTACCGTGTCGTTAAATTCACCGACGATCACTCGCTGCGTCGCTGAGACGTGACGCGAGAAGATTCCGGCGGAGGATTTCGAACGTGAAATGCGCGAGAGATAGAGCGCGAGACTGCTACATCCCACTCGGCGAATCTAGTCTATCGGTTTTCTATTTAAAGCGTGTTAACCGAATCCAACGACGACGGATTCTTCGTAAGAAAGTCAAACGTGTGTGTGTGTGTGTGTGTGTGTGTATGTGTGTGTGTGGACCTATAGAAGCGACTCGCTTCTCCGAGTGCGAAACGAGTCGAAGAGTCATTTCTCGCCGATCGTTATTCTCGCATATATCGAACAACGAAGAAACGACGAGGTGGGAAAACACACGGGAGGTGTTCGCGGGGCTACTGCACTGCGATCGATCAGCCTCTGGCAATGATCCCACCTTGTTCGTACGCCGAGTATGCCGAGACGCAAATTTCTATCCAATGATGCACGCACTTGTAAGTCGAGACACACATTGATCGCGCTCACAGTGATCCCGCTGAACAGCTTCGGCAGATACGCGCGCGCGCGCGCGCGCGGCAGAAACGAGAGTGTCGTCGGTGTCTCTCCGCCACGCTTCGTTTCCACGACGATGTTAGGTCACGACACGACAACAGAGAAATACCGATAATGTTCTACGTTGCGCGTTGTGATAATATCATGTAATATAATTGGATCGGACGAGATATCAAAACAGCGTGATTCTGTCGAACGCTGGACGAGGAATCGTACCTCGCACGCTGACGATTCTCTCTCTCTCTCTCTCTCTCTCTCTCTCTCTCTCTCTCTCTCTCTCTCTCTCTCGTCTGATAACGTGCGATTTTACTTGCAGGAGCCTCTCGCGCACTACGGTAGGTCTTAGAGGATGCACAAGCTAGCCAAAGGCCTGAAGAAGAAGAAAAAGTCGAAGAAGGGCAAGAAGGGCGCGGAGGAGGAGGAGTTTGACCCGGAGGAGCTCGAGCGTTATCGACGCGAGCGGGCAGAGGCCCAACAGAAAGCCGAAGAGTCCGGAGAGTCGGCCGGCAACACCGGATCCGACGAGTGGAAGAAGTTCGCGGCACTGACAGCTGGCGTCGACTCGGTCTTGAAGAAGACCCAGGGTGACCTCGACCGGATAAAATCCACCTCGTTCTTCCAGCGGAAGGCGCCGTTGGTAGAGAAGAAGGTAGAGGAGGCGGCCAATCAGGAAGACTCCAAGAAGTCATCGTCCTCGAAGAAGTGGGTGGGTTTCGACGAGGACGGTAATCCAATCGAGGGCGCGCCGCCGGAGATCGAAGGTCAGGCTAAGAAAGAGGATAAACCTCTGGTCAACGAGGACGGTTTCGTAGACGTGCCGGAAGATGAGAATGAGCAGGAGGACTCGGCCGATGAAGATATCTTCGACACCACTTACGTCGACGTTCTTCAGAATATCGACGTGCAATTAGCATACATACCAGACAGCCCGACCGAGGAGGAGACTGGGGACGATCCCTTCGACACTACCAACGCCGACAAAGTTCTTCGGACGGTCGATAAGAAGGGTAATAAGCTAGTCAGCCTAGGAAATGCTGTCGAGGTCCTGTCGGGACGAATCGATTACGTAAGTACTTGCAAACTCACCAAGGACAGAAGACCCAGGGTCCAGCAGGATCTGTTGCTGGACGATTTCAACGAGGCGGAACAAACGGCGGAAGCCGCCGCGGTTGCTGCGGCGGAGCCGCTGGAGATACAAAAGACTTTGCTGGATGACGACAGCGATCTTCCAGACATCCCTGTCGACGACTTGACGAAACTACCGCCTGTTTTACCAAAACCGGTCACTCCCGTCGTCACACCTGCAGCCACCCTAGGCGACACCGCGACACCGAATGCAGAGAAAACTTTGAACGGCCCGTTAGACATCTCCGAGTTTGAGGTTCTGAAGGAAAAGACCGTCTTGGAAGAGATTCCCGATTTGGATGACACCGAGTTTGATCTAGAAACCGCGCCAGATGAACCGATTCGCCTCGAGGAGACAGACGATCCGTTCGCGGCCAAGGAGCCTGACACGAACGACTTTCAGGCTGAGATAATCGAAGCCAGCTTCGAGGCGGCCACCTTCGTTGACGAGGCTGATCCGTTTGACACCACTTTCGCGGACAACATCTTGCCGGGTAAAACGGAGCTCAAGTTTATCGAAAAGGAGCTAGACGAGCTGCCTGTCTCGGAGGTATCCATATCACTGACCGACCCCGCGGGCTTCAACAGGGACTACGAGACCGGTTTACTCAAGTTGGACGATGAGCAGAAGGACGAAGAACAATCATTCAAGAAGGATCTGCTAGGTGACTCTACCACTGATCTCAGTCAGTTGGCGGACCAACCGATCGCGCCCGTCGAGGAGATCACTTACGTCGATCCTTTCGACACGTCCGCTGTGAAGGAACTTCCACCTGGCAAGACAGAGCTCAAGATTCTGGAGAAAGAGCTGCTCGGCAAACAAAGCAGCGATTACGTCGGAAACAACGACGACGACGACGACGACAACGACGACGACGAAGACGACGACTTCGATCCGAGGATAGATGAATCGGTGAAGCAGCTACCTGCCAAGCCGCCACCCCCTAGACCTCCCGCGCTGATCAAGGACGAGTTTACAGTTGCAGTTGTTCAACCGGACGTGTGTCCCGAAGTCGAAGAGATACCCACGAATCTCGAGAGAAGGACATCCCGACCGGCGGTGCTCGAGATTTCGACCAAGGCGGTCGCGTTTGAACTACCGACACCGTCGAAGAGACCCGATCTTCTCGCGACTAGCGAAGAGGAGAAGACTCTACCTTCTAAGCCGTTGACACCGTACTACTCGCAAAAATCCTTGGAGGAGTCATTGCCGTTGGAGGACGAGGAAGTGGATGTCGATCCGTTCGACACCAGTTTCGTCAATAACGTCGCGCCAGGCAAAACCGAGCTCAAGCTCATCGAATCGGAGTTGCTGAAGCAAGAGCCCAAGTTGCCTCACAGCTTGAGCGATCACGACTTCGATCCCAGGTCTCACCAGGCAGAGCCTGGGATCCGGAGACAAAGCGACTTCACGGCCACCTCGTTCGCGTCCGGAAACTTGAAACTCGCTGAGCTGCAGTCGTCTTGGATTCAGAGGGTAGAAGAGGAAACGGTCTCGAAGCAGGAATACCACCGACAAGAGAGCCTATTAGACGCTGAGGTGGAGGTCGATGCGAAGCCACTGACACCCAGGATCGAGAGCAAGCCTATCGAGGAGGAGATCTCCTACGTGGATCCTTTCGACACGTCCATCGCGACTAACATCCTCCCGGGCAAGGCGGAGCTCAAGATACTAGAGAGCGAGTTGCAACAGATTCCTCAGCAACCACCGCTGCCGTTGCCGAAACCCATCAATCTACCCGTGGTGGTGTCTACCGTCGCGTCGACGGTTCCGGAGATCGACGATTTCGATCCTAGAGCGGGAGAAGAGAAAGTGTCCAAGGATTTCTTGGCCTTGGACGATCAAGATCCCGGCGACAAAGTGTTGACGCCGCTTCAGAATAAGGATTTTACTTTGGACGACGAGGACGTGGATCCTTTCGACACCAGCTTCGCCACCATTGAGCCTGGACGGACGGAACTGAAGTTGCTCGAATCAGAATTGATGAAGTAATACTGTCGACGCGTACAGCTCTCTGTTTTCAACGTTTTTCAAGAGAAGTAGTTGTTACATCTTCATCATTTTTTTTATTGCTTCTCGATATCTTTATGCCAAGAGCAGACTCTTGTAAATTCTCAAGAATGTCCACCTTGATTGCATTGAAATTGTCGCGGAAGAAATCCACTTGATGCATGCACGCGCTCGCGTGCGCAGTACACAAATAGATTGAAACAGATTCATTGTGTGTGTGTGTGTGCGTGTGTGTATGTGTGTGTGTGTGTGTGCGCGCGTGTCTCGATGGAAATACCATCACCGCAGACTTTGTTCCGCAAATTTTACCGTCGACTGCCGCAGTCAATCCTTAGCTAGAGTTCCCAACGCGACATAACAATCTCAGTCGTCATGGATCCCAAGGGCGGAAACCCGTTCCTGATGGACGATTACGCGGCCGAGACGGCGGGCGGCTTGCCCGCGCAGGGTTCCAATCCTTTCCTGCAGGATTTCAGCGACGCGGCGAGTTCCGGCGTGGGCGAGAATCCCTTCTTGAATTTCAGCAGCGAGCAGACATACGAACCACCGGCGGTGTCCGTCGACTCCACTAATCCGTTCGCCTCTTTCGGCATGGAAAGTACCGCGTCGGATGCCGAATTCGGCGCGACAACAACCAATACACCAGCAACCAATGTATTCACTAGCCAAGCATCCAACATCTTCGTCAACACGTCCGACAGCGCGAGCGTGGACCTCTTCGGCGTGACCACGACGTCGAAACAGTCGACGTCGACGATGGTGAGCGCGCCACAGCCGCAGGCGGCGACGCCTCCGTCGAAGAACGGTGGCAGGCTGCCACCGTCGAGACCACCGCCACCGAGACCACAACCACCGGCACCGCCCGTTAAGAACACAAAGGACCTCATACTGTCCGTTACCGGGGCGATGGACGCGACCTCGAACCATCTTCTCGACCGTTTGCAGGCGACCCGAACTCCCAGTCCCACTCTGATACATTCCCCGTCACCCACCCCGGAGCACAGCTTCGCGGATCTTCTGGACGTGGACAGCAACGTGCCGGACCTGATCCCGGATGACAGCAAGTGCGTCGAGCCGCCGAAAAATCAGGACATTATGGACCTCTTCGACGCACCCAACACGGACGTCATTGCGACCGCGATCTTTTCCACTTCCATGACCAACACGGCTACCACCAGCCTCGTCAGCGGAGTCCCGCTGACCACCACCACCACCACCACCACCACCGCCCACCACCACCGCCGCCACCACCGCCTCCGCCACCGCCACCGCCGCCAAGCAGGACAATCCCTTCGCGAGCATGACCGAAGAGCCGGTGCCAGTTATTGCCTCGCAAGCGCAATCTGCTTTCGAAATGGATTATCCGGAGAGTGACATCAGCAACGAGAAACGAGCGTCTGTGAGCTCCGTAACCTCCTTCACGGACATCGAGACGGAAGTTGCAAATTCTGCTGGCGTCGTCGTGAACCTCGAGGAGCCCGCCGCTGCGGCTCAACTTTCGTCGACGACAACAGCCGCCGGACTTTTCCAAGGTTGGTTTTCCTCCCTCAAAGTAATAAATAATACTTCGACACGACCCGACCGGGGATCGTGAATGTCTGCGTGTATTTTTTCGCGAATGTAATGTAAAATGCGCGTTAACGCCGCGCATTTATTTGCCCGCAGAGGCAGAACAGATTCCCACCGGCGCCGACGCAGATTTCTTCTCCATGACCGACACCACCGCAACGGCGCCATTCGGCGTGACCGAAATCACGTCAGCACCCTACTCAGCAGCCGCGGTTACTCAACCCTTGTTCGCCACGCCGGAAGTCACGCAGCCTGCTCAAGATACTTTCGCCTCGGATCTGCTCGGTGATTTCGAAGAGACGACGAAAGAGATTGCCGGTGGCTTGATCTCCACCAGTCCCATCCCTGGAGCGGAGTTCCCCGGCAACGAAGCTTACCGGCCCGAGGAAGAGTTGGACAACTTTGCCGCTGCGACGAAGGCGATCGAGGACACTGGCGATTCGTTCGACGCATTCGCGTCCAAATTCGACAAGGCCGCCGAGCCGGAAGCCAACGGAGATCCCTTCCTGGACGCCTTCGGCGGTGGACCAACCGCCATGGATACTTCCAGCGATGGTAAGTGAACGTGAGTCGCGAACGTTCGCCTTCGTACTCGTTCGTGCTTATCGATGTTGTTTTTTCTTTTCTTTTTTTTCTTTCTTTCTTTCTTTTTCCAGTCTGGGGAGACTCATCCGCGGCTGGCTCGGAAACGACGGTCACCGGCTTCGGGGAATCCGATGGCTTCGACTCGTTCTTGAGTATGACAGCTCCGCCGCAAGATATGAAGGTGAAAAAGTCCGAGTCCGCAGAGTCGGACGAGGAGCCGGATTTCAGTGTGTTCATCAAGTGAGTACGTGAAGAGAGGATTCGGCATATCTTTCGACATTAATTACAAACACCCTAACTGACATGCCTGACGCGTTACCGTCCCCCATGGATTTAAGGCCGAAGGAAGGGGATCAAATCGCAACAACGGAGACTGGACATGTGCCCACATTAGCGCCACCACCGAAAAGCCCGCAGATAGCCTCGTATACGGATTCCTCGCCGCGTTTCAATCCGTTTGATAAATCCGGAATTGCGCAAGACGCTGCGGTATCCGAAACTGCTCAGGCAGCCGAAATGGCCAGGACCGATTCGCAGGTATTGACATCAGTCCGTGTTGTAACGCCGAATAATGTGTGTGTGTGTGTGTGTGTGTGTGTGTGTGTGTGTGTGTGTGTGTGTGTGTGTGTGTGTGGACGAACGTCGAGAAACTGATGTCAGCGGTACATGTCGTATTACACCGCAAAGTTCTACATTGGAAAAATAATGTGTTCTTATTAGGAAACGCCACCTACTCCTTTGTTCGACGAGGACATGAGCCAACCGCTCGAGGACTTCCCGAGGGTGACCTACACCGGCGATGGTTGGGATATGCAGTTGCGGCAACCGAACAAGAAGAAGATCACAGGGCAACGATTCTGGAAGAAGATCTTCGTCAAGTTGGTCTTTCAGGGCGATAGTCCGACCCTTCAATTGTTCAACAATAAAGACGACAACAATAAAGATCCGTTTCAAGAATTACCTCTGCTCGCCTGTTACTCGGTGTCGGACATTGGCGCTCAACAGTTCGATCAGTATGGAAAGATCTTCACGGTAAAGCTGCAATACATCTTTTACAAAGAGAGGCCTGGCGTGCGACCCGGCCAAGTGACGAAGGCGGAAAGGCTCACGAACAAGCTCAGCCAATTCGCAGCATACGCCATTCAAGGCGACTACCAAGGGGTCAAGGAGTTTGGGAGCGATCTGAAAAAATTGGGTCTTCCTGTTGAACACGCACCTCAGGTAAGTGATTTCATGACGACGACGACGACGACGACGACGACGACGACTAGCCGGTGAGGTCAGCGTTCTACATCTAAATCGCCATTTTAATTAATTAATGTGTCGATTGTGCAGATCTCACAGTTATTCAAGCTTGGTTCCCAATGTTACGAGGACATGAAGCAATTTTCCTGCGCTATCGAAGAAGCTCTCTTCAAGTTATCGGCACACCGAGATCGAGCGTTAAATTACAAAATGGAGGAGGTTCAGATAACGGTTGTGGATGAACTGTACGTCGAGCAGAACTCGGAGGGTCACGTAGATAAGCAAATCGCACGTGTTCGTCTCTTCTTCCTGGGGTTCCTTTCTGGTAGATCCGTCTCAGATGTTTTGCATTTTGCAACTAACATTTCTGCCATATGTACATTTCTGCCTTCGGTTTTCAAAGTTTATTCAATCCGTTTCAGGTATGCCCGATGTAGAATTAGGAATAAACGATATGTGGCGGCAGGGTAAGGAGGTTGTAGGTAGGCACGACATCATTCCCGTCGTAACGGAGGAATGGATTCGCCTGGAGAACGTCGAGTTTCATGCGTGCGTCCAGCAGGACGAGTACGAAAAGTCGCGGATAATCAAGTACGTGTCACTTTGTTACGTAACTTTAGGATAGAACGTTAGGATAGAATAGATAGCATCTCTTTGCACACGGATACTAACAAATTTAACAATAACTTCTTATGTAATCGCACAAAGAATCCACTGCATGCGCACTGATTTTAGTTCAAAAAACAAAAACAAAAATTAATGAGCCATATCTCGCATCTCATACTCGTAATCTCTGTGTGTGTAAATTTTTTCTGGTCTTGTAACTAATTTCCTTACTAACACGTCCAAAGGTTCAAGCCGCCAGATGCATGTTACATCGAACTGATGCGGTTCCGTGTAAGACCGCCTAAGAACAGGGAACTGCCGCTTCAGCTAAAAGCTGTTATGTGTGTTACCGGGAACAAGGTAAATTGTGAAATTCCTTTCGTTCGATATTTAACGAATAATTGAAGCTTCACTCCTCGTCATTTCTGTCGTTTTCGCGACTCACGATCACGCTGTTTACTCAAGCTGCCGTCTCACTGCTTCGCGCGAGACTTTGATCCTTTCTTATGTATCATTAGGTGGAGTTGAGAGCGGATATTCTCGTGCCGGGTTTTGCCTCCAGGAAACTAGGTCAAATACCGTGCGAGGACGTGATGGTTCGGTTCCCTATACCCGAGTGTTGGATTTATCTCTTCAGGGTGGAGAAGCATTTCAGGTATGGCTCGGTGAAATCGGCGCACCGAAGAACCGGCAAAATTAAGGGTATCGAGAGATTCCTGGGCGCCGTCGACACGCTGGAACCGCAACTCATGGAGGTCACTTCCGGTCAGGCAAAATACGAACATCAACATCGCGCTATCGTGTGGAGGATGCCCAGGCTGCCGAAAGAGGGTCAAGGTATTTTCACCCGCGTGATGATCGGATTAATTAATTTTCCTGTTTCGGAAAATCGCTCATAATTCGCTCGTTATTCATTCGCCTTGCTCATTATTCATTCACACGGAAAAAATACACATATATTTCATTTCACACATTGAGACTTTTTTTGAGAATATCAATTTCTCTTTGGGCGAGAAACGATATCACTCAATTACTTTATGAACGTTGACAACCGCGACCGAGAGGATAATCATGAGAAAATATCGAAGCATCACAGACGGTTCAAATATACCGCGAATTCAAATTATCCTACACAGACGGCTCTTTGCTGGCTCGCCTCCAATATCGTTGTTTTGTGGATTTATTTCCAGGCGCGTACACGACGCATCAGTTGGTTTGCCGTATGGCTCTCACCTCCTACGATCAGATCCCTGAAAATCTCTCGGAATATTGTTACGTGGAATTTACAATGCCGGCGACGCAGGTGTCCCACACGACCGCGAGAAGCGTCAGCCTCCAAAACAGCGACAGCGACGCGCCTCCGGAGAAGTATGTCCGAAATTTGTCGCGTCACGAATACAGGTGAGTCGAGAGATTAACCTAACACCGAAGACCGCATAGAGCAAGGATCAATCTCAATCTCTCTCTCTCTCTCTCTCTCTCTCTCTCTCTTTCTCTCTCTCTCTCTCTCTCTCTCTCTCTCTCTCTCTCTCTCTCTCTCTCTCTCTCTGTCTTTCTCCGCTTTGCTTCAGGGTGGGCATCGAGCACACGCAGGGCGAAGGACCAGGCGCGTACGTCTCGGCGACGCTCACGAAGAAGATACCAGAGTCCACGCCGGAAGTTCACAGCGAAGTGTCCGACACGCCGGCCGACTCCGATTCCGACTCCTCGGAGTAATGTGGACGATCATCGTCGCGCTCGGTCGGCATCGATCGATCATCCGTGTGGTGATAATTAACAGGCAGCCAAGGGAGCTGGCTAATAGGCGAACGCCTATTACGTAAGTCGATCGGTAAAGAGAGTACACGGCAGGTTCTAGTCGCTTAAGAAGGTGAACATAGGTACTACATCATGTACGTGTTACTAGTCTGTACGCAGAGAGAAAATGCGCGCGAATCGGTCGCGGGGTGTTTCGTAAGTCGCCTCGGTGATTATAATCAATGGCAGATCATCGTTCGTTCGCTACATGCGAAAGCGTAACACTTGGCGCGCGAGCCCGTTCATCGGCTCGGAATCGGCGAGTGTGACGGTCGGTTACGACCGAACAAAATGGAACCAGGTCGGTAAAGACTGAGATTAGTCGATTTACAATAAAAGCATCTTGTAACCCGGCACGAAACCGGCCGATCTCGTTGAGCTCGTTTGAACGGCGCTACTTAAAGTGGTGCACGCGCGCACACACACACACACACACGCACACACACACACACCAAAGAGAGATAATCCGCCCCGCCGGAGATTTCTCGCTCAGCAAAAACTCAGCAAGCGTCCATCGAATTATCCTCGATTCGATTGCACCACGACTTTCCCTCAAAATTCAATCGGCTCGACTGGGGTGCAGACTGGGAGGAGCTTCACGAGACATCTCGTCCGCATTCGCGCGTGATATAGTGGTTAAGTGGACGAGTAAGTAACAGGAAAATAACTTGTAAGGGTGGACAATACCGCTTTTTCGTTCCGTTTAGCTTATTAAGTCGTAGAACACTCGCAGTGGAAGGCTTTGTGTTTGTGGACGCGTATGTCCATGACGTTTCAAAGGCTCGTCAACGTTCTCCTCAAGGCGAGCTTAGATGATGAAGACTCTGACCGCAGACTCTGTTGCACTCTCTTACGGACGGACGGACGGGTAATTGGATTCTTCGTCTGAACATCATTGTCTGAACGTTCAAAACATTTCGAGCAAGGATAAGGTGACTTTATTGAGTTCTCCAACGAAAGCGACGGAAGTGTCGCTCGTACCGAAAGCATGTACGCCGTACGTACATGCATATTGCGTCGTTGCGATCAGAGGGCAATAGTTTGTTAGATGTCGTTACGGTTCTTCTTTTTTTTTTTACCCGAGCATATCCCATTGTTTGAGCTTGAACAGATGATCTATGCGTATCGTTATCTAGTCGCTCGTCTAGGTGCTACAAGTTATCGCGATCGATGATCACGTTTAGTCGTGTGTTAGGGCCTGTAGGATAATGTGCGGACAACAATAATAATGAGGTATCGACAATTCTACAACGGGGGAGTGTCTGAAGCGTGAGTGCGTGCGTATTACTAAGGCAGTTTGCGAGACTTCATCTAGTCGTTAGCGATACTCGTATTAAACAAGCGTTAACCATAATCGACCTTAAACGGTTAATTGCGAATAATCTCTAAGTGTTTGTAGAGATAGAGTGTTGTAAATTGTAGACGTAAGTTTCAGTTTCGTTATTGTTTGATTTTGTCGTTACCGGTCGGCACGTAACATTGCCGACTTATTGCAAGAAAGCAGCTTAACCAAATATTAGGATTGAAACGATATCAGTGGCATGATACGTTTACAAAGATAGAAAAATCTCCATTAACTGCATATATATATATATATATGTGTGTGTGTGTGTGTATATATATGTATATATATATATATGTGTATACATATACACATATACACTATACAACATAAGGAAATAAGCTAGTCACGTTTAGCGTGTTTAAGACATTGAAACAATTAGAAATGTAAGTTTCCGTTATGTTTTGAATTTTTCGTTTACACGTTCTCAACTTGCAAAATCATTGCAAGGTAAAAAGAGTGCTCTAGTCCTACAATTAAGAATATCGTATGACACGGACGAATATACGTCGATCATACGTTGGTTGTAAGATTTAGAGATAAGATTTATAGATTATAAGCATAACTCGGATAAGCATAACTTCCGCCAACATTGGGCAATATATGCCAACAAAGTCGTAGCTAAGCCGTTTGTTAATCGTTAATTGCCATCTGATCTTTGACGACGCAAATGCGACAATTCGAGAGATGCAAATGTCTAGTCGAGATTACGCTTTTAACTCGATACTGAAAAGATCGAAATAACGAAAGAATACAATTTTACTTTACACTGAGAAAAACCTCCGAGATGATTTCTGATTGTTAATTTCGTTATCCAATCAAATATTCGCTATATCTGATTAAATATCCATATCGCATATATATATATCGGATATTTTAACGGGTAACGAAATTGACAATCGGACGTTACGGAGATTTTTCTCAGTGTATGCGCGCGCACACACCCTTACTTATTTATTTAAACCGAAATTCACATGTCTTCACTCTCTTTCTCTTTCTCTACGTTTTTTCTCCACGTTGACCAATAATATTGTTTTCATACAATAGATTTTTTATAGACAAAATTATCCACGTAATTGTTTGTTACCGCACCGGAAGTTTGAAGTGCACGATAAATCGACAAAGCCCAATATCGTCGAGATCGACGATACTCTTTGACCTTTGAGACAGCGCAAAGCTTTCCGAGCTACAGCGTTAAGGTTTGTTTGAGTTTGGTACCTTAAACAGATTTTGGACAAGTTCTTCACTGAAGCTTGTACCAAGACGTGACGTTTCCAGCTCGTGATCTCAAAATACGCGTAATCGTATCGTCGTACGATCCAGAACGGCGCTCGTGTATTTATGCAAGGAAAAAAAAAACACATAACTACAGTTAAACGTTGCATGTATAGATTTTAGAGAGGAGCAAGTAGTTGACGAGTAAGTGTGGCTCCGATGCGTTTACAATGACTCTGTGACAGGATGGGTAGTGTTGGAGGGCGAAAAGAAAAGCGGAGATTATGCGCGATATGAGAATTAAGAAAATTTTGAATATTCAACGAAGAAAGAAAACAAAAAAAAAGAAACGGATTAATAGTCATGTCACATGTTTGTTGTGGTTCTGCTTACGTTTGTCTTTCTAATGGCCTTTCTCTGTCCCGGAAGGAGATAAGAGAGGTTAAAGAAATTGCAAGGAAGACAAATATATATGCAATATATATATATATATATATATATATAGAAAAAAAAATTAAATAAAAAACTTGTCTCTAAAGTTACTACACACTTTATAAACGGCATATTACGATGCAACTTATTAGTTTTGTTTATAATCGTATTTTAATACAATCGCGTGATGAGTTGCATGGACACCTTGTGGAGAGCTCATCACAGCGGTACGAGATACACAACACTCTACGCTGAGTTAGTTTCGTGAAATGTGGTTATATATATATATATATATATATTCTTCTGCAAAGAGCATAGTTTTCGATGTTAACGTGTGCGATTATGAACAACTGGAAATAGGCGTGGTGTATTTAGCATCACCACCTCCATCGCGATATATAAATGTGTCATGTGCGTACTGATTGATCGATCCCTCGGAAGAAGCATTATTTATCTCCTCGTATGAATTAAGTAGAGATCGTAGAGGCGATATAAATACGAACCCTGTTGTGACTCGATTTGGCATAAGGCAATTAATTGTAAAGAGTAAAGCCTACGAAATAGTATCGCTGGTGTAACCGTCGCTGGTGTATCGTATTATAAAATGTTCTGTACAGCTGAAGAAAGTCTGTAAAGATTAAGTCTAGTCGCGCTTTTTTGTGACACCGATATGTAATATTTAGCAATAGAGGGTACGGGAGGGTACGGGGGTATGAGATATGTCGTAACGCAGGTGTGTGACGCAGAAATGACGTTCCTCTGACTATTGAATATTGCTTTTCTTTCTCGGATTTGCGCTCGATCGCCCTTAAATGAGATCATCGAAGGAGGATTCGTTCTGTATCGCGCCCTTTGGCCATGCGGATGTATTCGCTACGGGATTCAATCAAGAGCTTCGTAATAATGTACAACGCAAGAGACGATTACATTACATCGGACGATGTTGTCGCACGTGTATACGCTGTACACGTTTGAAACGTCACGCGATTCTTCAAACAGCGATTAATGCCAAATTTGGTCGCTTCATCGATTTTAGAGGATCGTTCTGTTCTCTCTTTGTTTCGCTTCACCGCGGTGAGTTTATATTACACAAGAGATCCGCCAAACATTACGAACTGTATAATATTCAACGTGTGTGTGCAAAGCAACTCTGAGTTCTTAGATTTCTAGACGATTTAACGAAGAGATGTTAGTAGAATAGCCATACTTGTGTATGTGTTATCGATTCGGTCACACGATATCGGATTGCTTGTGTAGCCTATGACACAGTGAACGTTATTTTAGCGGGGGTGATAACATTTAAGGGTCAATCGACACATCAACCTCGGCGTGAATCCGTGCCGTGACGAACGCGTTGCGTGTTTTGTTTCACCGTGGCAAACATTAATGTATGCAACCATGATCGAATAAATAATTTAAGTTACATATCGTAATCCAGAGCTTTTTATAGAATAATACGCAACATACGCGCGTGTGAGCGGTGTTCCTTCTAAGCTACACAAGCGCATAAGTCACACCGGCGTACGTATATGCAAATTTTGACCAATTTAATATCGTGTATCGTTAGCATTTTAGGTTTATACGTAAACGGTGGCACACTGTCGCAGAAGGCCCTCCATTTCTCTCTCGCGAATGCGTCGAGGCGATTAGAGGGAACATTGCGTGTGTGTTTAAAGCATATATATATATGTATATACATATATACATATTATATATATATATATATATATATATATATACGTATATAAGTTGTCGCAAGTATAAACCAGTATGAAAGTATAAACCAGTGTTTCCCCAATTTAATTTGAGCACGGAACCTCGGAATTCTCGGAGGTCTCCCAAAATTGTATGCTTCTGTGACGAACTGAAAAAATAGTTCACACACTACAATAGCGAGAGTAACAAACGAAAGAGGCTTGACGAGAAATCGACGATTTTAATTGCACTCAAATTCAAATCGGAATCGGAATCGGAATTGTTTGGAAAAGAAGATAATACTCGCGCAGAAGAGAGAAAAAAAACAATATATTGTTATGTTACCTTACGCATTTTACCTTATACATTTTACGCAGCGTGTTTCCCGGGGAACATTGAAAAAGACGAATATAATTACAAAAGTACCAAAAACGAGGATAAGAAAAACGCCGTACACACAAAATCACAACGATCCGTTCACTTGTTAATTAAATTTCCTCACCAAGCGTAAAAACTTGTCCAACATAACGTAACGCAACTCTGAGCAGCAATTGATGGACTGGCAATTCCCAGGGTGTTTCTTCCTGCGCAAGATTCATGGCGTAATAATACGTTGTCGGCGGCGCGCGATATGCAAGATATTGGCGGTTTCAAGTCTCTCTAGCGTTTTCGCGCTCTCTAGTTTTCGCGCGTCCGGAAATTGACTTTCTGGAGCGATTGTTGATCGATGACGATGATACCGCAAGTGAGAAATACATTTTTTCGCCAAAAATTTTCCTCGCGCGAATCTTGATCGAAGGAGCGTTTCCTCGAGAAACGAGAGAGAACTCTCGAGAACTCAACATCATTCTCGTCGAAAAATCTGTTTGGTGTTCACGCTTTTTTAGAATAGAGATTCCTAAACTCTACGAAAGACGACGGAGGAGAGTATACACGTTGCGTGTGTTTCGTGACGGATATTACTTTCCATCGAGAAAGATTCAGGCAGAAATGATAAAAAAGGAAGGAATCACTTGAACGGTCGACGAACTTTCACTCTCAGAATGTGTCATACGAACAGGCAACGCAAGAGAAAAAAAGCATCGAAGAGAGAACCGAGCTAGACACTCATGGGAATTGCTATCTTAGGATAGTGCGAGGGAATCAATGTTGAATTCGAGCAAATCTCGCGTCTCGAAGATGTTGCAAAATTGCCGACTGCGATTATGACGCTGAGACGATTGATTTTTTATGTCCTCGCTACACGCTCTTGTGGTGGTGATTCATGTAACTAATTGTACATAAATATTTTCCCTGTGCATCGGCAAATTAACATAAATTAACCGCAGACGGATTATATAACGTAGAGAGCAACGTAGTGCGTAGACGACACTTTTCGTTTCGATTTCTCGACTTGATTTCGCATTTTCTTCGAAAAGGGCATCGGCCCCTTTTCAGCCATAAAGTATATATTACAGCTAAGATTTAATAGGAAAATAGAGAGTTGGAGCTCTCTCTCTCTCTATTCCTAATAGAGTTCTGTAACCGTAATTTATAATATACATATATATTATATATATATATTATACGTGTGTGTGTGTGTGTGTGTGTGTGTGTAACGATGTAATATTGTACATATATATTTTCCCTGCGCATCGGCAAATTAACGTATATTAAGCGCAGACGGATTATATAACGTAGAGAGTAACATAGTGCGTAGACGACACTTTTCGTTTCGATTTCTCGACTTGATTTCGCATTTTCTTCGAAAAGGGCATCGGTCCCTTTTCAGTTATAAGATATATATTACAGCTTAGATTTAATAGGAAAATAGAGAGTTGGAGCTCTCTCTATTCCTAATAGAGTTCTGTAACCGTAACTTATAATATACATATATATTATATATATATATATTATACGTGTGTGTAACGATGTAATATTGTACATATATATTTTCCCTGAGCATCGGCAAATTAACGTATATTAAGCGCAGACGGATTATATAACGTAGAGAGTAACGTAGTGCGTAGACGATACTTTTCGTTCCGATTTTTCGACTTGATTTCGCATTTTCTTGAAAAAGGGCATCGGCCCTTTTCAAACATAAGTTTAAAGCTTGAAATTTAGAATTAATAGGAAAATAGAGAGTTGGAGCTCTCTCTATTCCTGATAGAGTTCTGTAACTGCAACTTATAATACACATACACACACACACATATATATATATACACGTATGTGTAACGATGTAATGTACAATTATACGTGTATCTATTATTTTAATTGTAATCTAACCCATATTATAACCGTATGATGTATACAAAAAGCACCAAAGTCAAGAGTGCAGAGGCGTTTCAAGAGTACTTTGGCATGTATAATAATCTACAAGCGTGTGTATGTATGTGTGTGTGTGCGTGCGTGCGTGCGTGCGTGCGTGCGTGTGTGTGTGTGTGTGTGTGTGTGTGTGTGTGTGTGTGTGTGTGTGTGTGTGTGTGTGTGTGAGAGGGAGAAAAAGAGCGCGAGAGAAAGAGAGACCATTTTTGAGAGCAAAAACGAAACGAGTGTAACACTGTTAGCTAATGGTATTACCGATAAATTCTATGTATCGATAAATAATATAACATTGTTTAAGGAGAATGAAGCTTAACCAAGCCCAAAGTCGTATTTTTCCGACAAGAGTAGTCTAAGTCAGTCAGCTTCGTAGCCTTCCGTTATAGCGATTCTATTTTCTGACGTGTACGTTAATTTTCTCTCGCGTAACGAAGCAATCTAGGTAACGAGAGGTTTTCAAGAGATTACTCAATCCCCAAACGTTATGCTAATTTTTAATAACACAGTCGGCAGGCAGATAGAGGAGGGTAATAATGTTGTGGGTCGTAATAAAAATGTAATGGAAAATACACAATATTTTTCCCAAGCATTTCCTCTCGTCGACATCGGTATTGTATCGCTCGATGATTGACGAGTTATTATAAGTCAGTCATCGCATATAATATATATATATATATATATATATATATATATAATAATTAGGAACGAAATATCTAGCAAAGAATAACACGATAAAATATCTCCATGCCAACTCTCTCTAATAATTCGCTCTCCTCCCATCAACATGCATGAACATTGCTTCGAGAACACATATGTCTAAATTTTCCGTTTATGCCTCAACTTCTCTCCATCCTTGATTCTCCCCTTTTCCGTTATCCAAATTACGCAGTTCGATCAAACAATTTTGTACCGGGCCACGCAATCACACGCAACGTTCTGTTAATCCTCATCGTCGTAAGTACAAGATAAGAACACGCAGCATTGGATAGATATACATCGCGTAATAACTCGCATAACCTGTTTCTTGCAGAGATCCTTATTGTTTAATGTATCGCTTTCCCCATATATCCATATATATATATATATATATATATACGATGGATATTCCTGAGGTGAATTCAAAATTCACTTTTACTTGCTTTCCTAAATGATGTAAATTATTATGCAGGCACATACGCGTTGTATCTCTTTCCAAGATTAGCTTTGCAAAACCAACAAGTCGAAATTACGCGGACAAGTTTGAATACCGTTGAGAGAAAGAGAGAGAGAGAGAGAGAGAGAGAGAGAGAGTACGCTTTTGGAAATTAAACACAAGCGAGATAAATGAAGCAACATTTAAAAGTGTATCCCGACAGGTATCGCGTCCCTGTTGAACCTAAAACGGAAATTTCATGAAGTTCCGACACGCACGATATCGAAACGATACATTTCGCGGTTCCTCAAAAGTTCACGAAAGAACGCGTCGCTTATTCGAAGCCTCGGAACGGTGGAAATTTCGTCGAAATTCCTGGAATAACCGCACGCATCTCGCTGACAATTTCAAAAGCGCGTGTACGCGCGTCCATTCGCCAGCGGCGAGCCACCACGTGACCACCGCTGTGACGCACGAGCGCGGCACGCATGCGCGTCGGGGTCGGTAAAGTTTCGCTGGTCCCGCCGTCACCGCCACTGTGGCCGAGCGCTCAGCTGTTTCTGTTTACTAAACAAAGGAGCCAGTCGAACGCTGGATGGCGAACGGTGCGTTCGCGCGCGATAACGAGTCTCCACTGTTCGAGAGATCGAGGAGGATTCGAGTTCGCACGACGCTGTAAAGGCTTCGCTCTCCGCGAGAAGACTCTCCGCTTCCGCCTCCGCCTCCGCCTCTGCCTCTGCCTCTACCTCTGCCTGCGCCTCCGCCTCGGCGTCGTCGGCTGGCCGTGTCTCGCGCTCCTGGCAGGAGCGAATGCGAAGGAGGAGATAAGCGAGAGAGCGCGCGCGAGCTCTCTCTACCTAGAGTGCGGCGGCGGCGGCGGCGGCGGCGGCGGCGGCGGCGATAGCGGTAGCGGTGCCAGCACCGAGAGATCGTCTCCGACGCGCTACGACGAGCAGCAGCGAGTACGGCGAGGAGCGAAGGGCAGCGCGCGCGCGCAAACAGTGAGTAAAAATAAGAGAACGACGCGCGTCCAGGGCCAGGCGGGGACGGCCGCGCACACCCGGCCGGCGGCTCGCTCTCGCCTGGTCCTTGACACGATTGACGAAGTGTGTCGGTGTGACGGGGAACCCTTTCGGGACTCGTTCTCGCTGCGAAGGCGCTTCCGCGCGCTCGCGCGCCATACGGAAGCGCCGCGGACGCCGTGTGAGCGACGCGCACACGAGCGATCGTGTTTAGCTCCGAGCTTGCTCTCGCGGCGAAACGGCCGCGCGAGACCTCCGAAGGCTCCGCCGGCCGCTGCTGCGTTGGCTGGATATGGATCCGACTGTTGACAGCGACTGTTGACAGCGACAGCGACAGCGACAGCGACAGCGACAGCGACAGCGACAGCGACAGCGACAGCGACAGCGACAGCGACAGCGACAGCGACAGCGACAGCGACAGCGACGCATGTGTAATGGACACGAGATCCCGAGGCTTCGCCAGCGCGATCAGCGTTCCTTGCACTCGCGCGTCATCTGAACTCGGCGGCGACCTTACATACATCGAACGGACCGTGTTCGTGTTCTATAGGCCCGTAGGAAGTCGTCGGAGATCTTGTTGCTCGCTTGTCTCTCGCTCGGCATCCGTCGAGCGGTATCAGCGATTAAATCTAATTGCGAGATGGTGCATCGGGAAGCGCAAACACACACGTGCACACACATGCGCGCGCGCGCGCGCGTGCACACAGCTCTCACCTTGCTTCTACGCTTTACGTCAATAGCTCCGGCGTCATTCGATTTTTTTTCTTGCTCGCTGTCAGCGGAACAGCTGACGACTCGAGAGTGAAATCTCGAGCGCGGTATTTGCACGAGATGAAGGAAAATAGACGCCCGCGATTGGGCGTCTATTACGCGATATCTCCCTGTGGTGGCTCATAACGTGCGAAACACGTCTCGTTGATCGCGCGAACTCTCTCTATCTCTGTCGAATCTCCGAGTTGGGTTGACGCTGTGTTGCACTTGAGCAACTTACGCAACTTTCAGCGAACGCGTTTGCTGGTAAAAGCGTCTCTCTCTCTCTCTCTCTCCCTCTCCCTCCCTTTCTCTCTCTCTCTCTCTCTCTCTCTCCCTCCCCCCTTCCTCCTAGGCTCTAGATCGATTACATAATCGGCTTCCGACGTGTCAGCGGTGTCCTCCGCAGTCGTTTGATTGTCTAACGAACTTTACGACTGTACTTTTGTGCAAGGGTACGCAGCGGCAGCGGAATACACATACCGCAGCCTTGATAATTGATGATTCGCAAGGTCAAAATCTTGACGAGAGATGTCCATTGCGTGCGTGCGCGCGCGCGCGACCGCAAATTTGGTATAATTTTGAATCAAAGACTGCCAAGTACCGGCGAAACTTTTACCATCCTTGGCAGAGTATCTCGTGTCGAGATTTGAATGTGTACTGTGTGAGAAAATGATAATCAGTAATTAATGATTTGTAGTATCAAGAGACGACAGTACAGTGCAGTATAGTGTACAGGTTTGACGCGATGTAACATGAAAATTTGGTCCGCAGCATTTCAGGGCTGCGATAACGGCGATGGAAGCTTACGGTGTTGCAGATCGACGCATCGATGGCCACGTGTATGGCCTCGTGCGATACGGTTAGGTTATCTCACACCAACTCCCGTTCTGCAACGGTGCGATAAACCGCCAATAAAATATCGCAACAATCAGAGTTGCGCTCTGAAAAGGGAGAGGTTCGACGCGACGTACAGCGTAGTAGTGGCCGGTGAATGGCCCATCCGGTATACCCACCAGCTATGTTCCTCAACTACTACGCAGCATTTTAGATACAAATAGTAGAGTGAGAGAAGAATGACGCTTGTTTTTCGCAGGCGAAGTCCTGACAGGCGTCGATGGAGCTCCTAGATAAATCGACTTTTCATCGTGTAAACAGAGAGGATCTTGTCAAGGTTTCGTCGCGAGTCGTTAAAAACTCAGCGCCAATCGCGCAACGTGTCGATCGCTGCTTTTTCCTCCTCAGAGAAGCCGCTTTATTATTCATTGAGAAATCGGTGACGTTTGAAAAATTGCGCAGTGTTTCTAAGACTCACTGTATGCTTCTCTCTCTCTCTCTCTCTCTCTCTCCCTCTCTCTCCCTCTCGTTAGTACCACTTTCTCACACACATCGATTTAATTGCCGCGCGCTGATGCGAGACGCGTTTCAGCAGTCGGAAAACGGTAAAGAGAAAGAGAGGGAGGAAGAGAAAGAGAGTATACGATCCAATTACACATGTTGAATACTCGTTTTGAATTAAATTTTGTCCTCATATGACGATAAGCGTAATCGCTTATCAGTCGCTTATCAACCGTCGCTTGTATACAGTCGATGTTCAGGGCGCTATTTAGCCGCGTAATTCATGCCAGTCGGAGAGGAAATTTATCGTCTCTTCTCATTATCTCCTTGCAAATTGCGCGCGTGCGCGCTCAGCACGCAATCGCTTGGACCACGCAATTACCGTACGCGACTCGCAAAGGTGACGCTGCGCGATTCAACTTACGCCGATCGAGATGCGCGGACGCTTTAAGGCTCGTCTACAATAGCTGTAAGAGTAAGGCTGTAAGGCTGTAACGTAAGCTGTCAGCGAATGAAAATATTTCATTTCGTGTCTTGCAACCTTACAGCCTTACTCTTACAGCTAATGTAGACGAGCCTGTCGAGTTGCGCTCCGCGCACACTCACGGTTACGGTAACAAAGGTGTAGACAAGGCGGAGGCAAGATATAGATATATCGGCAGCGTACATTCACAATGGTCTCTCGGGTCGCGAGCAAGCGCGCAATAACCTTGAGCAAGTGAGTAATATTCCGCGACTTGCGGCAGCATTTGCTGCGCAGCGGAGGAGCAGCGCGCGGCGCACTTTCGTCAATGTTTCTTCATCGGTTTTTATGCCGCGCGAGCGCGCGCGCGGCGATGTCTCGCTCCGATGCGTTTGGCGCTTTTAGTTCCCGTTTTGCGCTCGGTGAAAGGACAGACAGACAGACCGACCGACCGACCGCGCGGCACGGAAAGCTCTAATGTGTGTGCTCTCATCCGCTGTTTCCTGCAGCGCATTTCCGCGATGCGACATTCCCGCCAAAAAATGTAGAACCGCGGCGCGTCACACAGGTATCCCTCATCTTCACTCTCCCCCTCCCCGCTGCTTTTCTTTCCCAGACGGATCCTCCGCGAATGTTTGCGGAGCCGAGCGCAGTTTCGCCGCGTGTTTTTGCGCCGCGCGCTTCTTACGTACCTAAAGGTACGTACTCCGTTACATGCCCGCGCGAATCGAGCGACGACGACGCTCTCTCATTCGGTCGGTGCAATACGAACATAAAATCCGAACGCGGAAGCCTTTTTAGCTTTCAATTCAACCTAGAATCCGCATTTAAATTTTGAAGGTTCGTCGCTGCGCTCATCGTCGCGCCGGGGAAAGAGCGGAAAAGAGCTGGGTGTCGGAGGACGGAGGGCGGTTGAAACTTTGACAAAGCTTTAGCGATTAAAAAGGAAACACTTGGACAGAGCCGCAAAATATCCGAGATAAAACGGCGAGAGCTCGCTTTGTCTTCGTTAGAAACACGCGCGCCCCGTTTTCAGATGAAGCGACTCCCCCCCTCTCGCGGCCGCGAATTCGAGCCGCGAATTGAAGCGAGCAAGCCTGAAGGAGAGAATAAGACGATAATGCATTTATCTTCCGTTGGCTTTTACGAGCCGAGTTGGAAGGTCAATCTTGTATTTTCCGGCGCTCACGCAACGCGCGACTGACCCACTGCGCCGCGACGATCTCGTCTGACATTTCGTAATCGTCGCCACCGTCGTATATTTAGCGTGATGTTACGCGCCGCGGGGATAGCTCCGTTGCTCTGCTGGGTTGATTCGACGTCGTTGAAGCGTCCGCCACTCAGCTGATTGTCAGCTGCTAGCGACTCTGTCCGCGTTACACGCCTGTCACGCTGTTTCCCTCTCCCTCTTCCTCTCTCTCTCTCTCTCTCTCTCTTTTCTTCTTTTTTTGCTCGTCGTGTTTTCTCGTCGCGCGCGAGCAGCGATAGACACGGCGCTTCTACCGAACGACGTTCGCCTCTACGACTTGGCGTTAACGAGGACGATAACAAACTGAATTTTGAGCCGCAGCTCGATTCGACGCGCAGAAGCGACGAATTATCGGCGTTAACGCCGACTTAGGGCCTCCCCCTCCCCCCCCCGACTCATTACGCTCGGAGTTTCTCGAGCCCCGTTCGTTTCTTCGACAATGGTCATAACGACGCACGAGACGCAAATGTTACTATCTCACGAATCGAAACACATCCGCGGGCAGCGTGAAATTACACGAATGTAGAGAGTGAACGCTCTCGCGTTGCTGCAATTGTAGTCCACTTACGGTTACCGTAAATCGTCCGAAGCTGCGCGTATTTAGCGTATTCGCGCGTGCAGCCTTAACTCGCAGGTGTTTCTCCCACCTCGTCGTCGTTAGTCTTGCGTTCGACTTGCAAATTGCGGCGCTTGCGATTCCGCGGCGAATCCCGAAATCTCATTTTGCGTCGCGGCTTGCAAACTTTGGCGCAACTTTCTCCGTTTCCATCCTCCCTCTCCCTCGATTTCATCGCTCGGTTGCGCGCCGAACTTGGGCGGTCCGCCGCGCGCGCTATTCGCTAATCGCGCAGCTGTGGTCAATAATTATCGGAGGGAGCTCTTCTCGTCGACGCAGCTCGAGAGAGTGCAGTGTGCGTGTCCGCGCCGTGACCGTGCGCGGACTTTCGCGCACCTTCCCTGTATCGCACGTCGATATCGCGCTAGCAGCAACGCTCCTAGCTGTCACGAGTCTAACGCGCTCGTAACGCGGTGCAATGCGCGCCGCTCTCCGCTCGCCGCGCTCCGCTCTCCGCGGGCTCTGCCAGGCTTCTCTCTCGCTCGCTCTCGCCCGAAGCAGCCGCGGAGCGGAGAAAGTTAATTTCGCATGGCCGTTGAACCGATATCGCTGTTACGTGCGGGGAAGCGGAGAGCAAAGCACACGGACGGTTAGAGAGCAATTTACTACTTCTAGGCCAGCTTAGTCACACACACAGCCGGGGCCGGGACCCGATCTTGTTTGATCGTACCGACGACGCCGATCAACGACGCCACTGTAGCAGCGGCACACATGGAGCCCCGCGGCTCGAAACTAGCGCACATCCCGAATTAACTCTTCGCGATCTGCCCGCCGCGACTTACGCTCGACCCTTCGATGGTTCGATCTCGCACGTCCCGTCCCTCGCTTTTGTTTCGCTCCTGCAGCGCACACTGTGGCCACGTGTTTGGCCAAAAGTGAATTTTCTTAAAATCATTCCCGCTTTACACACGAGTTCAACTGTCCTGGACAGTTGAACAAATATGCGGAACAATGGGCCGGGCGACTGCTCTTTGTTCATCCGCGATCACATGAAGTGGTTTGTTTAGTCAGAACTTGGACATTATTCGCATTATTGCACGCATCAATTCTCAGCGCTTTGTAACATACGATCTTCGATCTTCGATCGGAAGGTTTTTAATACAAGGTTCTTAGTACAAGTGGCAGCGCGAAATTTTTCGTTATTTCGATTGTTTCGAGGAAGGTATGAAGAAACGTTTTAGGCTATATTTATTGCGATTGAATTGTTATTCACGTAGTTATACGTGAATTTTCAAAATAGCGCTCGATAATGCATCTCTTTGCGTTCTTGATGTCAAACTCGAAGGATTTAGCTTGGTACTTGAGGGTGTGTTACGTTTCTTGGATGAAATGAAAGAGTAATTCCTCCGGATAAAATATCAGAAAGAATTAGCCGCGGAAAACCGCGGATGTAGTTACTCAGTAATTACTTTTGTTTCCCTAAACCGTAAATTAGGTTTTGCCCAAAGTTTATTTAGACATGAAGTTTCCTTTTGTTTCTTTTTGTTTCCTTTTGCAGTATGGACATAGTCAACAGACTTTTGCTAAGTTCTGACTTGTTACTAACGAATATGAGACCCGTACCAAGAAAGAAATCTAAACCATTTCTAAAAGAAACATTGGATATGCTTTTTCTCAAAATGATGTTGAGTTTGAGGAGTGCACTCATTGGATGAAGAAATTTGGAGTTTGTCTAGTTGAATATTTATTGATGTGGAATATTATGCTTTCTTAATTATTAAAAAATATTTTTACATATATATTTACGCTTTATTTCATGAAAAGCTTATACGAAATCTTTATAATAATCATATATACAATTAGTAGCACGTTTTAAACCGAAATTCGTCAAAAAATAATTTTGGCCAACTTTTTGGTACAAACATCCCACTGTGCAGCGTAAGGATGCAACGATTTCTCAAAATATCGATAACGATAATATCGATAATTGTGAAAAATATCGAAAAATTTGAAAAGATCTCTCAAAAATTTTTATCTTCGTATAATTTATTATTGTCGTATTCTCATTAGAAAATATATAATGAACCGCAGTCGTTTGCCGGAGATCACCGCATGCATGGAGCGGGAGATCTATTACGGTTCAACGATTGAGGTGGAAACGATGGAAAATGAGCGAATTTACGAGACATCGAGCAATTACATAATATATATTCCGGTGAATTCACTCACTTTTGTAATTTTCATCTCGTCGGTCGTAACCGTAGAACCGTCGTAATAGGTTACCCCAGAGCTGAGCTGAGAGCTGTAACTGAAAAACACGAAATATCAGTAAAATTCATGTCGATATATCGATCATTTATCAGAGACAAGGAAATATCGATAAATATTCGATAATTGTCTCTCGACGTATCGATATTTCGATATTATTGATTTATCATTGCATTCCTACTCCAGCGAGACAGAAGGGAAGATGTTTTCTCTGTGGGCGAACGCGCGCCGTGTTCCGAAGTCTTCTCGCGATGACACGCGCGAAACCTCACCAACCAATGAGATCGGCGAAAACTTGGAAATGCAACGATGCAACGTAATGTCGATGAAATAATGCCCTTCTTACGTAAACGCAAACGCTATTTGGCGCGCATTCAGCGAAAACGAACGGCTCTTCACGCGGCTCTCGTTCAATCGACGTAATGCTGTCTTCCGAGCCAACTCGTCTCGACTTTAGAGATCGTCGGCAGAGCTCTGAAGCAACACACACACACACATACACGTGCGTAGTCGTTTGCATTCGCGCATCTCGTTTGTCATTTTGGCGGGAAAGAAACGGAAACGGAACCGCCGCCGTTTCTTTCCCGTATACATTTGGAGACGAGATCGTTCCCGTCCCGGGCGGATCCTCTCCTAGAGAGATGTCTCCGAATTGTGTGTGTCTCGGATGTTCTCCCGTTGTACTTTTTCGTGCGGACGCAAATGCACAAGTAGTCACTCTCGTCGATCGTGCTTCATAACAATGGAGCCGCATTGAATTGCACGTATTACAGCGTACACAGGTACGCCGCATCGCGTCGCGGCGCGATGGAAGGTGGTCGTCATGCACGATGAAGACTCTACGAATGACCGAGTCGCCGTATATAGCGCGTATAGAAAGACATTTATCGCTGATCGACGATGTGGTAATCTGGCTGCGTATTAATAAACCCGTGCCGTCGTGTAATAGATCGGAAAGCTCGGCCGCGCGCGCGGCCGCGTCGCGTTGTCGAGAAATCGCGACTTTCGCGAAAGACTGCGAATTCTGAATCCTTTTTTCCGCGCGGACACGTACGATACGTACGGAATATTGTCCGAACAAGCTGGAGATTTTGTCGGCGTTGATCTGACAGCTCGAAACGGGCATGGTTCGCAACGGATGAGGGAATGCAAAGGATCTCGATGGAGGAGAAAAAATTATCATCGTTGTTATTTATTTAATTTATTTGACGCTCTACGAACAAAGGGTAAACACCCTTTGGTATACATAAAATTGAGATAAAATAAATAAATTATTATTATATTAATAATATACGAGTCCGACCCCTTTGGAGTTGAGAGAGATATGCAACAACGAGTATAACGAGCAAGAAGATTCTCACGCAATAAATAAGGGAAGAAATAAAAAGAAAAGAAACAAGAGGAAAAGAATTCCTTTCATCTTTCTTCCCACCTCCCTCTCCCCCCTTCCTCTTTGCATAAGTTACAGAGTCAGAATTTACGCATTGTTGTGGTACGGATTCGTTTGGACCTAAAAGTACAAGGTGAAGTACAAGGTAAAGATATCTCAATCACTTATTGAAAAAATGACAATATCGCAAGTTTCCCCCCGTCGGAGCGCGCGAGCGTGCCATCTTTCGCCGGGGATGATTTTTCCCGATCGACGCGCCGATCCCGCCGACGGCGCGCAGGTTCGAGACCGTCCCGGACAGTTGTTCCTTTTTGCGCGCACGTCGGCGACGCGTGGGCGACGACGCTTCGTGTGATCGCGAGGAATCGTTTTGTCGACTGCGCTAAAGAACCGGTACCGGTTCTCCGTCGCCGCTACGCAAAAAGACAATGGCGTGACCTTAACGAATATGGCGAAACCAGATTCAGCTCGTGTCTCGAGGATGACCGGCTCGAAGGTTTTCCCTCTCGTCCCTTTTCCTTCTTCCTTTTTCTATCGTTGCTGTTGGCAGCGTAGTCGCGTTGCACGATTTGCCCGGACACCGTGTGTCATATTCGTATTTGTCGATCCTTAATCCTTTAACGCCCACTGGTAACTATAGTCAGCAGAATTTACCAACGCATTTAAGAATCCATAACTTGGTCCATAAAAGGAGATGATACTTTCGTTTTCTTTGCACCTGCACTGTAAAGGTGAATTTTTCTTCTAAAAAATGGTATATTTTAATGGATTGTTATGTAGATTCGCTGTTTAGTCTGTTTTTAGCTCAGTTTTAATGATAGCATGTTTTGTGAAATTCCAAGTAGGCATAATTACTGCATTGTTACTGACACCTAAAAGTGCACTATAAACGAATAGATTGGTTGGTATCTGTTATAATTTTATACATTTGGTGGAAGCTTTCTCAGATGCAAAATGTGAAATTAAAAAAAAATACAGAAATTCAAAATGGCGAATCCAAACGAGGTGGACGCGAAAATCAAGAAATCAACCTATTTTCGTGAAACCTGGTGACCTACCTGACTTTTTACGCGGCGAAAAATGAAGGGACGATTGACTATCTAAGGGGTGATCTATAAGATATTCTTCTGAAGTGGTAAGCTTGACGCTCTGAATGATAAACTTCACTTACAAGTATAGCAAAGCTTTAGTTTGAAAAATGTCAAACTGACTGTCAGTGCTCGTGTCGCATAGATTACCCTTCATTTTTCTCTGTATAGGTTGCTCATTTCGTACATGCATTTAGGATCCAAGTCATATTTACCAATAAACAAAAAACGAATGATAAAAAAAACCAATGTAAAATTCTGACATTTCTTTTGGTTATAGTCTACTTATAGTCTCAGTTGAAAAAACTCAAATTTTATTCTTAAAACATTTATTATAAAAAAAGTCGGGCGTTAAATGGCGCAAGCCTGACGTCCTCCTGACTGTAATGGCGCTTGTTTAAAAATAAATCATACACGCACGAGTATGATCCGGGAGTATCTCCTCCCTTGGGTGACTAATTCCCGAATTTTCTTAGATCTTTTCAGTTAAGCGGAGCGTCCGATCTCTGATCACATGCATTATTTGCTGTTGTCGCGTCTCGCGACCAGTACTCGCTCTGTCGCGTCTCGTGTATTAATATAATCGGAAAGAGGACGGCACTGGATGCGTTTGCAAGCATTCGACGAAACTATGTCGCCGGGAGAAAGGCAGAATTCGCAAGAACTAGTCCAGTGGACGTCCCTTCTAATTAGTTAGACAAGGTTGCCGTGGAGCTTTCTACAGAGCGATTCGGTGTAATAATCGGTTATTATCGAGTTGATGACCCGGTAATACAACACGGAGCTTAGAACTTGCGTCAGAAAATTAACGAGCGATAGCCAAGATACACCCTCATCCTGACGAACTTGCAGAATGCTGTAAAAATGCCGTCGTTGCTGGAAGCCCTGGAGCTGAAGTACGGCAGCTCAACGACGGACTGCTCGTTGACGGATGACGAAGCGGAGTCCGGCTCGCCCAAGGCCGCCCTGTCGGTGAGCATCTTCATCCCCAAGAAGTCGCCCCGACACACGGTGCCGGCGTTGCTGGTGCTCCAGGACTGCGACATTGAGTCGGCGGGCAACGACGCCGAGAAGCTCCGTAGCAAGTGCAAGAACGTCGAAGAGCTTGATCTGGCGCAGAACAAGCTGTCGCAATGGACGGAGGTGTTCGGTATCCTGCAGCACATGCCCAAAATCAAGTTTGTCAACTTGAGCTTCAACTGCCTGGCGGAGGTGCTGGAGGTCAAGCATGGTAACTACGACCAGCTGAGGAATCTCGTGCTGAACGGCACCAGAGTATCCTGGTCGACGGTGCAGGGACTGATACGGCTTCTGCGCAATCTGGAGGAGCTCCACCTGTCCTTGAACGAGTACAAAACGGTGGACCTGGATTATCAGAAGCCGGAGAATGTGAACCCGGCGCTGAAGAAGCTACATTTCACCGGTAATCCGGTGGAAGTTTGGAACGAGATCTCAAAGCTGGGGTAAAGTATCATTTGTTAGCAGCAAGAATTAAGCCAGTAGAATTAAACCAGGTGGATTTTCGATGATATTTTTCGGAGCACTCGTGAGCACTTTCCTAGAATAATCTTCTGCATGAGAAAAAATATGAGACAATGGACGGACGAGGACACGTAGCCACCGTAACCACTCTGACAAACGGACGTCACAGAACTTTTGAACTCTTGGAACGAAACTTTATGAACTCGAGTGAAAATCTTGAACAAATTGTACGTTCCCTCAGGTATGTTTTCCCAAACCTGAAGAGTCTCGTCTTGGCCGAGTGTCCAATCAGATCACTCGCTCTGGAGGAGAATAGGAATCTACCGAACGAGGACAGCCGTCGAGCGAAGGAGGAGGGCCACGGGCAGGACAGCGAGAACATGAATCATTTAGAGGCGGATGAACACACGTCGACGGACGACAAGGGAAATAGGATATTCGAGAGCAAGGTGAACTACGACAGATCCGAGTCAGAGTCGGAATCTAGCGGAACGACCATCAAGTCTCCCCACGACCCCTTCAGGATGTTGAGGTTCTTGAACGTAAACGGCACATTGTTATCAACCTGGGACGACGTTGAGAGGCTCGCTAGGTTTCCAGCGCTCAAATCGCTCAGGGTCCAAGGATGCCCGCTTTTCGAGGTGAGAGAGCGGTCTTCCCTTTAGAGGAGTTAAAGGCCGGGAAGTATTAACTTGCGTTCACCGGTCTCGCCTCGTCTCGTCTCGCTCGCCGATCAAGGTGCACTTGACTCGAGGTGATAGACGGCCAGACAGCCCGCAGACATGTGCTTTAAATCCTCATGGCGCAAATGCAACAGCCGTCGAAGAAATGGCGGCGTATCCTATATGATCCCTGATCCGCGCGAGAAATCTTTCCGCATACACGTGCGGCACTTGAGTCTTGGCGCGTTCCCAAGTAGGCTGATAGGCTTATAGATTAATGCAACGTGTGTGTGTGTGTGTGTGCGTGTGTTTCGAAAACAAGTTCCTAGAATCGATATAACTCTGCTCGAGCTCATGTTGCATTTTTTTTCTTTTTCGACGAGCGCGCTTGCACCATGTGTATTTAATGTTGGCCGGAATGTGCGCGCGCGAGGCGTCTTCTCCTTAGCAAGTTATGATTTTATTTTTAAATTATGTTATCGGAATATTAGAATCTTGTTTTTGTCATTTTGTGTCATTTAGGTAGGGTCTCTCTGCAATGAAGAAAGACACTAGTCTATATCAATCTTCACACACACACATTTTGATTTATTCGTGACTCATCGACAATATTGTATATTGCGCCGTCACGCTGTACCCGCTTAACATTTTCCAGAGTCCTCGAGAGTACACGGAACATGAAAGGCGGCAGCTACTAATAGCTCGACTGCCAAATGTCGAGACTTTGAACGGCGGCGGCGTGATATCGTCTCAGGAGCGCGAGGACGCCGAGAGAGCCTTCATACGTTATTACATGGATAAACCGGAAGCCGATCGGCCTGAGAGGTGAGCACCTCAACATTCCGAGCTCGAACTTTTGACGTTTCTCCCTTGAGAGAAGCAATAGTAACACCGCACACACCGTACACGAATCGCGAATGTGCGGCTCCAACTTTCAGCTCGTGTCTATTAGACGCTATTCTCGTTTCATGGTCACACTCGCCATGTTGCTTACATGCCTGCGCCAGTAAAACCCAACTTGACCCTCTTTTTCGGTTTACAGGTATTCTGAGCTTGTGGCTATTCACGGAAAGTTGGATCCCTTGGTTAATGTTGATCTGACACCAGAGAAAAGGGTCAAGGTTACTTTTACCTACGGGGATCTCGTTGAGGTATTTAATTTCGTCACTCTAAGCAGATAAGCGTCGTTCAAATTAAAGCGTCACTTTTCTCGAGAATCTCGAGGAATGAGCAAATTTCAACAGGCAGGTAAACAACTACGGTAAAGTGATTATAACAAAATAATTCAAGAAGCATCGTTTAATTAAAAATATCTTTGAGATATATATTTCGATTTTGTAAAGTTCTTCAAGTATTCTTCTATGAATGTGATGCTGCATAATTTTAAATTCAGATTCGTCAACGTCAAAAATTTTGCTAAAGTTCAGCAAGTTATTGTAACGCGTGAACAAAGAGTGCTCTTTCACATGTGAGTGCTATTTCAAGCATTTAAAAATGTGAATTTTGCTTTTGATTTGCATAGCAGTAACATCTCACGACTTGGATTCTTCGTTGAGGAAAGTGGCGGCTCGTAGCGGAGACTTTGGAACTAATTTACAAAATAACGGGTCTAAAAATTCGGCACCCTTGATTTGGCCCCCTTATTTCTATTTGAAATATAACGGGTCAAATGCCTGACTAGGATCCCCCTTATATATTTTTCGAAAATAACGGGTCAAACGTTCCCACGTGAACCCTTTATATTATTTCTTGGAAATTACGGGTCAAGCACGGTTATTATTGCCGTGAAATTAACGGGCCCTAAATCAGGGATGTTTAAACCCATTATTTTATGAATAAACACAAAAGTTTACTTATTTCTCGTGAACAAGAGATAATACTTTGGATTTTTGAGCGTAGTATATTAATAATTATTATGTATTAAATAATTTTTTACATTGTTACATATTAATGTACGAATTACGATATTTTTAGGTACGGTCAGTAGATGTATATAGAACGGTTTTCGAATTGAAAACCAAGTTAGAAAGTATGGTGAAGATACCTGCCAATAGAATGAGACTTTTCTACGTCGATCAGGTGAGTTGTATCTTCAGTTTTATATTAATCAAACGACTTTAATATTGTCGGCAGAATGTATGGTTTCTCAAACCCTTTAAGAAACCCGAAATTTCGATGTAAATCGTATAATCATCCTCCCACACGATCTCCTTATCCTCGCCTGTAATATCGTCACCTGATTAACCAAAGTATCCACACACAGTACACAAGGTATAAGAAAGATTTTTCATGTGTCATGTAAATTTGTATAAATTATAAATATTATATAATAAAATCAACACGTGTCGAAGAAGCGAGAATGAACGAATCTATATTTCAGGAAATGAAGGCGCAATACGGCCCGGAGGAAATGCTATATCCCAACAAGCAGCTCTATCGATACAATATAAGGAACGGCGACGAGATCATCATCGACAGCAAACTGAATCGATTCGTGTCAACGTCTTCGGGTACATCTTCCATTCGTTCCTGAAGAAGGACGACAAGTGGATCGAGCGGTATCGAAGAAATCCGATAACTCTTCGATCTCTGATCTCCACTTATCGCCTCACGATGCATGAGGACCGTTCCGACGGATCATCAACGAATGATTACGATGAAAACTCGCGTATCGATAGAAAAACCAACTTATCCAACTTATCCAAGTGAAATATTCCAGGATGACACACACGAGTGTTTCTTTTTTTTTTTTTTTTTTTTTTTAATGAACTTACGAGCACACAGGACAGCATGTCCTCCGTATAAACGCGATAAGTTCAGACATTCTCTGATAATCGTTACGGGATTATCGTGATTAATGCATTCTGATCAAGCGATCAAGCCGTTCGACGGCGGCTATAGCTAATTATTTCTCCATATAACAAACTCATCCAAGTCTCTCGACGTATAACTTAAAAACTGCTACTAACGCGCGTAGGGGATAATTGTGTGCGCAAGTGTATGCACGTACACGCGCATACAGACGCATTTAGATGAGTAGAATGCTGTTGATTTGTAAGTTCTCTGAGTAGCAATTCCTATCTGTCTCTTGTAGAAGGTAAAATGTAACGGAGTGGGGGGGGGGGAGGAGAGAGAAGCAGGAAAGCTGTGTAAATAGCGAATTTCAATTTCCAGCCAAATTCGATGTAATTACGAGACGAGTTGAGAAGAGTTTACTTGATGTTATCGATGCTCGATGAAAGCGATAGAAAAACAGTGTAGAGAAACAGTTTGAACGAAAAAGCTCGCGTAGGTCACTTTGACGTGCTCGTCGCAGATTGCTACGACGGAGAGAATGTGAGATATTTTTGTAGATCGCGAGCAGTTATCCGTAAAGAGTAAGATGTATCGTTCACGAACGAATGCGTTCTGTTGTTCTTTGTTGAGCACCGGGCAATGATAAAAGTGTACAATGCACTTTCATTGTATTTCCGTTGCGCGCATTTGCATACACTAACGTGAGAATGCGTGTGCGTGTGTGGTGTGTGGGGGTGGGGGAGGGGGGGAGGAGGGGACTCTTTCGCAAGTGTAAACACGCGAGGGAATTCGTTCGCAAAGTGTCATCCACTTGTGTTGTACGAGCGATCTCTCTAGTTTCCGAAGGTGATACTTATATGTAAATTCTCTCTCACGTGCAAACTCTGCGCGAATACAACGCACAAGCGTCATCAGCTCGTAGCTTTCTCTTCGTATATCTCGAGCGATTTGATTCGAAATGTAATATCTCGCAGTGGACGCTATTTGCAAAAGTACGCAAGAGTTTATGTCAATCTGAGGACGCAAAAGTCGCACTCGTCTACTCTCAGTATGTACTTAACTTGCAAAAAGAGTTCAATTCCTTCACTAACTTTGAGGCATTGGATTTTACACGATAAGAATAGACGATTGCGCATACGTGCGTTTATTTATCGTAAACGACCGTGATTGAATGACAAGGGCTGACGTCAATTTTAAGCGTGATAAAGATAACAACAAGGAGGCGTGTCTTGTTTGAATTTATATAGTTTGTACGCTCGGACTCGCGATGATTTTATAATCGTATCAATCTCTTCACAGGTACATTCTTCTCCCGAATATTACAAATATCCGTGCGTCTTGTTGCATTTATATCTTACTCCGAGGTTTAGGAAACATAAACGCGCTCGCAAAGAGGATTAAAGTAGAATGTTGCGTTGCGCCCATCAAATTCACACCGGCACTGCAGTGCCGTCGAGTATACAGCCGAATATTAGAAAGAGAGGGGGGGGGGAGGAACAGACAGTACATCAAGTTTCAGTCTCTTCGCTCACAAGCAACGAAGCTTGAAGAGCCACTTAGTGCCTGCCTTTGACTAGCGTAATTCGGATACTTCTAACACTGCCCTGTGTATACCGTAAAACGTATATATAATTCGGAATATTCGGAGGCTTTCTGTACATTACGAGAAACACACTGACCGAATTCAACGACAGTAACGACAGTACGAATACCAATGCTCTCTGACCAATGCAGTTCTCAAACACCAAATTTACGAACTTTCGACTATTGCCAGTGATATTAACAAGACTTTTCGTGAAACGATCCGGAAACTTGTTGCATGTTGCGTGAAAGCGAATACCTTTAGAATGTTCTTATTTGTGATATTGGAAGAAAGTGAGACAATTCGACGATCACGATTTTTTGCTATCCAACCAACAATCTCGGCTAGATCGTCTCTCGAATACCGAAAGAGCATCGCGATAGCATCGAGGACGATATGTTGTCGACTGTTGGATTCCAGCGTTGGATTCACGTTCTACTGCTACAGCGCACTAGAGACTTACAGAGTTTGGTGATCCGTTTGGTCGGTGTAAACAACTGAAAATGAAAACAATTCAATCACGAGAGAATGAGGGTGAGGAGGGACTGGCAGGCGGCGGAATCCTGCTACTGTATGTGTCTAGTCCCGGAAAAGGATAATCTCTCTCTCTCTCTCTCTCTCTCTGCATTATTTTCATTTTATATAAAAACAATCTTTTTTTGTGCTGGCGCAAATGTACGTACTAACGAAATAAATCGTTTGTACGATGTATATAGCTTTCTTTATTCCTCGCTGTTATTTTTTAGTAACATATCGTTAGGTAGTATTAATTAACTCTGTCCAACAATCGCTTCCGAATCATCCACAAACAGCCATCAACAATAACAATACACAGGTAACACAATATTTCACAAATACAAATTAAATAAAAAAAGAAATGACTCTGTTAGTATTGCACAAAGAAATTCGCTAATCGTCATCGATAGTTTTCGACAAGAATTCAAAAAAAAAAGGCAAAAAATTCAGTAACCATTCACATAACCCACTTTTCACTTTTTTTCTTATTATTTTGTTATAATTCATTACGTGTAAGCAGAGAGAAACCTAAGAGCGATCAACAGTCAACACGGCATTTTCTGCGACACCGACTTTCCGCACTGGAAAAGGACGCCATCTGCATCTGCATTCTGAGAGAGGAACTACGATGCTACATGCACTTTCAGGTCTCGGTGGTAAAATCTGCATGTGATGGAAGTCTGTGCTACATCCACTTTCAGGCTTTCAGGTTTATGTCCGTGTTGCAACCACAGTTGCCATCTTTATGCCAGACTATGTTCGGAAGTGTAAAAAGAGGGGGGGCGGGGGGAAGAAACAGGAAAAATAAAAGTACATTAAATATTAAATCTTCGAATACATGTCGCCGTATCAATGTCTCCTGTATAATAAACGATTTGACACGTCTGGAGGCGCATGATGTATCGTGTTGCCCGCGTCCCGTTCCCTTCGTCCTGCTTCTCGCATTCAGCATTCCGTCCGCTCCGGACATTCGCTCGTGGCGCACTGACAGTGGCCGTCGGTGAGCATTCGATCCGCTCGGAGGAGCACGTGTTAATTAACGCGACGAGACTCCGATTATAAATATCCCGCGAGTCGACGAAATATCTGAACTTTTAAAAATAGCATCAAAGAAAATCACGTTGACGTTGTCATGGGTGAAGTCTCACCCTGGTATATATATCTTTTTTATTTTCGAAATAGAAAAAGCCAAACGAATGCAATTAAATTTTATATTTATCATCATTGATTATTAGATGACAAGTAGAAGAGTTATTGTTCGCAGCGGATAATCTAACATCAAATAAGAACGAGACAAAATTCGCATGGGATGAAATTCCACTCTTCCAACGCTACCATGACCTTTAATTATTCTCCGAAAACGGCGTCACAACAACTTTGACGCTCTGTACAATTTGTTACCAACACTAATTTTCTAATCGTACACATTACTCTTTAATTAACATATAAAGTTAACAAATATCCGATGCTTCGACAGAATAATTTTCTTTATTTTCAGTAATCAGTAAATAATTAAATCAATGTCGCGTACAGTTGAAAGGCCTCCTCGCATTCCCCTCGTCGTCCTTCGAGAAAAGAAAAGACGCCCAAGGGCAAGTCTCTCTTGCTTCAACCGCCACCGCCGCCGAGGCCCGCGATGTTTACATCGCGGGCCGATTGTGTTGATCGGCTCGCGGGCGACGACACTTTTTGCCCTTCGTATTAATACTCGTGCGTCTCGCGTACTCGACCTTATTCCATCAGCAGCAGTCGTGCGCGACGCGCTCGTCCACTTCCGTCTCGTTGAATTGAAAGAATAATGTATCTCGTCGGTCCTCGAGATACTCAATCGGCATCGCGTTGATTAACCGCACGGTCGAATCGCGGGAGTATCGGCATTACAAGCGTGAGCGAGTGAAACCCGGAGGACTCCAGCAGCCGGGAAGCAGGATACGCCGGCAGCGATACGTCACGTTTCCAGGCATGTGGAATCATTCATTATGCGGGAGGTCTCCAATAACGAGAGCGGACGTTTGACGAATTTTCCGGGAATAAGAAGTCGGAATTTCGCGCTCGGCATTCACGATCGGATAATTAGAGACTGATAACGATCCACGAACGCGGATCTCTAATTCATCATGTTCTCAATCAAACATTCTGAATAATTCCCAACTGTGTGAGTATACCGGTCTTGTGTAGAATATTCAACGTCATATCGCTTCTTAGACTGCTTTTTTGTTTTCGGTCAGCGCTTCTTTCAAGTCTGTTTACTCTCGTTACGGGATCCAAATTTAAATGTCCATTCGTAAAAGAGTATTTTCGAGAGAGCACACAACTGTTGTCTCCGCTTCTTGTTGTCATTTTTCTTCGTCAGCTCTTTCAAGAGCTCCAAGTCCTATCTAGACTTTCAATGTCAATGAAGAAGGAAAACCGTAGCGAATATTCTCCTCTCATCTCGACCAAACATTCTTTCTCTACCGCAGCTTACCAACCAGGAACGTTAAATTTTTGTTCCAGACGTTGCGGGAAGCAAGTCCGGCGGACGCGGATACCGCACCGGAGGGTTCGGTTCGGGCCAAGCAGAGTCGGTCAGAAGGTAAAGTTTACAAGTTTTGCTATACATTTGTGTTCAACCCTTTACGATCTTTGCCTTTGCAACTTGTTCCTCATCAGCTCTCTTGAAAGCTTCAAGTCTCATTTAAATTTTCAATGTTGGAACAAAAATATAAAGATAAAAATTCCGTTTCAAAATATTTCCGTATTTTCGATTCGTCCCGATCAAAGATATTCTCTCTTTATCGCAGGTTATCAACTAAACTACTTTTCTGTTTCAGTTGTTGCGGAAAGCAACAACAATCCGGCAGATGCGGATGCCGCACCGGAGGATCCGGTGCCAAGCAGAGTCGGTCGGAAGGTAAAGTTTACAAGTTTTGCTATACTTTTGTGTTCAATCCTTTACGATCTTAGCCTTCACAACTTGTTCCTCATCAGCTCTCTTGAAAGCTTCAAGTCTCATTTAAATTTTCAATGTTGCAACAAAAATTTCGCATCAAAATATATCCGTATTTTCGATTCGTCCCGATCAAAGATATTCTCTCTCTATCACAGGTTATCAACCGAGAAAATTATTTTTCTGTTTCAGTTGTTGCGGAAAGCAACAGTAATCCGGCGGACGCGGATGCCGCACCGGAGGATCTGGTTCGGGCCAAGCAGAGTCGGCTTGAAGGTAACTTTACAAGTTTACTATAGTCCTCTGTTTGACCCTTGGCGATCTAGAGCTGGGATATAATTTCCGGCTCGACTTGAATTACGATCGCAGAGGGTAAACTACTCTTTTATTCGCCCGCACTCGTTGGTCAAAATCTTGGTCTGTTGATCTGATGAGCAAATGTGAATTTTTTGTTACAGAGTTGAAGCGGAACGTGGCCGGCTCTGACTGCAAGTCGTTTCGGTGAGTCAAAATGAAAAGAGAAACAAAATTCTGCATGACGGATGTGGGACTGAAAAATATCGTTCGAGTCAATGCGAATTGCAAATAGATTCTTGCATGTGTGTATTTGTGACGTTGAATAAAATACATTGCTCGAAACAATCAGGGGATTACTTGATCGGTAGCCTGCATGATTACATACGAGACTTAAAATACCGAATAATTCTGTTTTGATGTTCAGTCTGATCTGAATAAGAGATATTCATATTTACAAACGCGATACGGTTATCAGCTGTTTTATTTTTATTTTTCAAACGGGCCGCAGAATTATTAAATGATTTAATTATTTGACAATATTCAATTGTCCGTGTAAAATATATTCATACGCATAAATGCCGACACCGTTAGCTACTTTTCTTTTATTTCCAAAACAGGCTGTAGAATTATTTGGCAATATTCTCCATTCATCACGATCCCTATTGTCTCGAGTAGCGTATATAATGCGCGCAGAAATTGCGCCAGCGCACGCCGAGCTTAAGGTATCCTCGCTCGCGTGCCTTTGAATATCGCGACCGCGGTAATCAATATACGCGTTCTTATCCGCGCTGCTAACAAAGAAAGCTCAAATTCTCATTTCGCCAAAGTATCATGAACGTAAATTTCGTTGTAACGGAACCATCATGCGTGAAATCTCTTTGCCCCGCTCCCTCTCACTCTCTCTCTCTCTCTCTCTCTTTGCGCTCCCTCGGGGAGACCCTCGGTTTCTGATTGTCTAATATTTCCTCGTGCATTCGCGAATATTTCACATGTAGACATCGATACTCCTGCATTTTCGCGACTTTTCAGACGCGATCGCGAAAAGCGCCGTAAAAATCCGTTGGACGAGTCGATAAATTTTCACACGGTTCTTTTGCTCCTCGCCGAACGAGTTTATTTAGAGTCCGTTTCGCAGCACGTAAAAAGTTTCCACCGATGTCGACGTTCGGTGTAAAACGTTCGTTAATTGACGCAAATATCGCCGCTCCAATCAAACCGCGTATCGACCGCGTCGCGGAAGTGTGGCGAAAGTGTAGCAATCAACGTGGGATGCGCTGCAAGATGAATGCTGCACGACACGCAGAGCGGCAGCGGACACGGATGGACATTGGTGGATCTGGTTGGATGCAACGGGACATCATCAATATCATCATCGGTGAGTGTATGACTCAATGCTCGCAGAGAGCTCTTTTATTACTACATTGTGTGTGCCGCAAATTTGCATTGACTTTTGTAACGAAAAATATATTCCACGAATTATTGCCATATATTATGGCCGTATATTATTGCCATATATTCTTGCCATATATTGTTACCGTGTATTGTTGCCATATATTATTGCCACATATTGCCATGTATTATCGCCATATATTATGGCCACTTGAAATCGCGCGAACAATCGAGAAAACTGAATTTGCCGATAATCGCAAAGGCGCGCGGCAGACGTCACGGACGGATGACAGCAGCCTGTCTCAGGGCTACAATTTAACTTTAAACCACAGCGGCCTCCGGTCGTAGGAAACTTTCTATCGCGGACTAACCCCTCGAGTGGGATGTTCTCGAGAAGCGCTCTTGACATAAACGCTGGTTATAAGCGAACTTGCCTCGTTGCGGTATCGTTGTCGATACCGCGGAAAATAAGGAAGAAAGGAGTTAAACATCCTCACCGTTGTGAAAAGAGGGGCGTCCCTTCGCGTCCCTTCGCGAGTAGAATGTTAGGCCCTTGCGAACGCGAGCGTTAAATTCCACCGCGACTAGTTTCTTCGCGGAAATTGAATCTTCATAACTCGCGCTTGAGCGTACGTTGAGATCTCTATCGAGGGTGGGAGATTGAAGCGGGAGTTGATGATATAAGCGTGACAATGTAGTCGCGCATTTTATAATCGCTCTTTAAAATGGGGATGCTTCTTTCGGTGATAAAGACGAGAAGAAATCAAAGCCTGCTGCCGGTGAGCAGGTCGTAAAAACCACATAGATTTCCCTTCCGCGGCTGTTTAATCCGCATTAAGTCCCTTTGCCTGGCACAATGCCAGGCAACAGGCAAATAAGAATAAAAATAGACCAATCACAATAGATTAGTCTTGTAATAGTAGATTGTGATTGGTCTATTTTTGTTCTTATTGCTTGTTGCCTGGCATTGTGCAAGGGGCCTTACGACCATTTTTGCGGATAAGCACGGGGAAAGTGATATCCGCGAATAAGCTTTGTCCTCTGAAACGCATGTACACCCACAGTAATCGATTCTGTCCCTTAGAAATTTTCACAAACTGAGAAGTGTCTACGTTTCTACACTACTCACAGTCCATGCACGATTAATAAAATACCTAAAACTTACGCTCGCTTATGGAGGATTGAGGCCTGGTCTATAATAGATGTTCTAAACTGTAGGCCGTAAGAACCGGCTAATTATAGCCGATTACTTTTATAATAATTGACTGTGATTCGCCAATTCTTACGGCTTACAACTTACGACACGTATTGTAGACCAGGCCTCAATCTTCCATAAGCGAGCGTAAGTTTTAGTTATTTTATTAATCGTGCATGGACTGTGAGTAATGTAGAAACGTAGTCACTTCTCAGTTTGTGAAAATTTCCAAGGGACAGAATCGATTACCGTGGGTGTTACCATCTTAAAATGAAATACCGCGAAGGAAACTATTCTCGTTTCTCCAACTTGCGCTTTACAAGTTTCGGGATCCATGAAAATTTCAGGATCAGATACTGCTTGTTTGAGGGAGGTTTTTAGACATTCTCTGTGAGAACCTGAAGAACGAGTACCGATTTTTTTCGAAAAATTCGAGATCCAAAATCCAAATCCAAATGTGTTATTTATACGCATACGAGCGTGCGATTGGCTAAGGCTTTTTTCGGGGGCGAGTTTTGTCGTTTCAAATCACGCGAGAATCGTGTGAAGAAAGCTTGAGCTAATTACATGCTCACGCGTGTGAAAACAACACACTCGAATTTGCAGCGACGACATAGCGGAGATATTTAGCGAGTACTACCTTGAAATTTCCGATTAGATTATATTTCTCGTTAGTCGTCGTTCTGTCGCCTAGCCCCGTTTCTTTCGCCCGGTTGCTTCACCAGCTTACTTGTATTTTACTTCGCCGGCGGCTTGTTCTTCTTCTTCTTCTTCTTCTTCTTATACGCTGGCAACTGTCGTTAGATCATGTAGGCCGCTCTTGGCTCCAGCAGCTTCGTTGCTTTTTCGATCACCGTCTCGGCGCGTGCTCATTCATTACATTTCTGTAATTAATAGCTCGGTTGTTGCGTACATAGCAAAATGGTATGGGAATTTTATATTTATCTTAATCCGTTCTATGTCTTCGTGAATCCCCTAGGAGCGAGGAATTTGTGAAACACTGTGTACATATCTTCCCGCATTGCAATTTCAGTATTATTTCAACTTCGAATTATTAATTTAAGGAATGCTAACGTGTGTATATATTTATAAAATAAAAAATTTTTTTTAATTTTCTCACATCTCGCAATCCTAACAGACATACACACGTACATATTCGGCCTGTTTTCCGTATTAATAGTCTTTGATATCTTCCGATACGTACATACATATTTTGAAACATTTTCTTTGGATATTATATCAAACAGATTTTGCGTGTCACGTAATATCCTTCGGACTACACGGACATTATTATTTTGATCATTTTTATTTCTTTGATATTCATTACGAATTATCCGCAGAAAGCAACGCCATGTTGAACGACTCAATTGTCGTGTGAAATGTTTCGATTTTCACAAATTCATATAAAATTTTTCATTCTTCACTAATTCACACAAGTCTTTCACTTTTTCACTAGTTCACGCTAGAGAAAAGATTCGTGATCGCTGCCCTGCTGAGCATCAGCTGTAACGCTGCTTCTTCAATCATCTATGTCGGCGCGCTCCTACTCAGATTTCTGTCATTAATAACTCGATAATTATTGCGAATCTCGCAAAACGGTATAGGACTTTTATGTTTGTCTCAACCCAATCCATCCTCACACTTCGGATTGGCAGCTAATTACCGGACACTTTGTATGATCTTCATGATATTAATCATACACAATGTCAATTCTTTTTTTTTGCATATGTTAACATGTTAATTCATTCATGTTATAAACGCGTAACAATGTGCTTGTCAAGTATGCTATTATGGTTGTAGCACGGACATAATAAACTGCTTGAAAATGGATGTAGCATGGACTGCCACTACTACTACATGCAGGTTTTACCGCCGAAACCTGAAAGTTGATGTAGCATCGTAGTTCCCCTCTCAAAATGGATGCAGATGGCGCCTTTTCCCAGTGCGGAAAATTGGTGTCGCCGAAAACGCCGTGTTGGGCGCTCTCACGTTCCTCTCTGGGTATAAGATTTCAGTTCAAGGAAACCTGTCTAACATGGTTTGAGTCTCTGCTAAAATGTGCCTTTAGCCAAGACTCGAAGCACAATAACCGGTTTCCATAACATTTAGCTAAGGTTCAAACCACAATACCAATCTGTATCAAAATTTAGCCGAAACTTGAATTACATCACATAACTCCCTCAAGTAACATGTGTGAAATATTGATATCCGTTATTTTGGTGGAATTGCTACAGCTTGAAAAAAAAAAAGAGAGGAAAAAATAAAAAAAAGAAAAAAGATCAACCGTGTTACTCCTACTTTATCTGTTTCACACGTGTAAACATATACTTTTTAAAACTTTATTTGTTGATCCAAACAAGTGAAATCAATTAAACAATTGTTAACCAAACAATTTCTGGAATATTTCGTCACAAACTATTATCTTGAAAATGAAATTATGAAGGAGAAAAGAAAAAAAACTATCAAAAACCATCGTCAGTGTCAGTGTTATCGTTAGTTGTCGATAGTGCCATCAATATATATCAATATATAATAGTTTTCCGCCTCTACTGGCTAGGCTATATTTTATTTATTAAAACTATATTTATATTATATATATGTACAATAATTATAAAATAAGCATCGTAAATATTGAACTCACAACAATTTTGGACGACTATCTCTCCGCCAATTAACTTCAACCGAAACAACCGGGCGTTTTTTTCAAAACAAAATTCCCGAGTGAAGATGGAGACGGCAGTAGTGTATAATACACGAACGTGTGTGTGTGTGTGTGTTTATTCACACCGTTACCATAAAAGAGCCGACGATAATTTGACATTCATTTGACGCCACGAACTATCACAATTTTCTCTCTCTCTCTCTCTCTCTCTCTCTCTCTCTCTCTCTCTCTCTCTCTCTCTCTTTCTTTCTTTCTCTCTCTGTGTCTTTTTACCCGCTTTTTTCGGATGTATAGAAATATATCTGCCGACAGACGCTAAAGCTACTTAAAATTAATCACGCCACACACGCTGGCGCGACATCGGATTTGCACATCTATACATAAAACGTTACGATTGCGTGTATGTATGTACATAAGTACAAGCTAGACTTAGTAATGGAAAACATGAATCAATCGTTTCAGCTGGATATGTCATGAAGGCATAAAGCTAGATCTACGTATATATTTGGTCCGATCTCTCGTTCGTAAATCCGTAATATTCGAAAATATTTAAGCTATCTGATTGAAGCGACTGTCAAACATGGCTGTGCTAATCGCCTGAATCGTGATGTAATTTCGAAGTGGAATTGTAACAGAGACTGGCGTTGGCGCGTGCGCGCGCGATTCAAGATCAAAAAGACATTGTTAAGTACAATTGTACATACGAGTTCCAATTCGCATTCAAGATATTGTACTTTAAATACTCCTCTCTAAGGATTAATCTTCGCAATTCTCATTAAGTTATTTCTTTACTTTTTTATCTCAGCGGGAACTCTAGCAATGGACTAATATATAGTCTTATTTGTACTTACTTCTCTAGAGCGGTATCATTATCAAATCATTAATTTAATAATAAAGTACATCGACTTCATCTCATTTATTGCACTATATCATTAATGGAGATACTTGAAGGACAGTTGCGCCACTTCCTGCCTAACTGCGCGACCTTGCCAACTGCATGCGTGGTAGAAAAATATAGAGACGATGGAAGTGACGTAAATCAACACCCGAGAAACGACACGTACAGATACATCGCGCTCCGTACTTTTGATCTGCAATTACTAGCGCCGCGTCGCAAAATGGTAACAACGTATCGAGCCACTTGACGCAGCCCGCCGGGACTGGACAAGTGAATTTTCGTGCGACGCGCACCTACCGTGTTTGGCGACGGGACTCGTCGCGCGGCTCACAGCCGTACCGTCCCGGACGTGTGTCTAAGTACTATTGCTCGAGCAGAGAGATTTGCTCGTGTGCTTCACCGTCGGAAATGTTGAACGATTCGATTCTCTTTCCGGGATGAGTTATCCTTTTTTGTCATAGCTTCGTATGCTTCACACTGTCTGTCCAGTAATTCTGTATTGTCATCGCCTCCAGCGAATTTAGGAACGAGTCGTTATCCAAACTGTACATTTCCTCGGAGTTGTCCTGTGTAAACAAAAGCGAGAGTTTTAGCTTCCTTCGCAACGTTTCGTCTCTCATTACATATCTTTATATTAATTGTTTTAACGAAATGACTTTTTCTCTTTTATTATCCAGACAATTATCTATCCCATTCGGAATTATATATAGAGAGATATTATATAGAAATATTATACATATATATATAAACACATCACTCAATAAGTTCGTAGGATGACATATAAATGGCGCTACTATTGACAAATCCATACGATTTTTAGGAAGTACTAACCTTCGAATGATACGTGTCAAAATTTCATGATAATCGGACGTTTAGTTCACAAGTTACAGTGGTTTTAGTGATGCACGACGTCGACTCGTTTTAGCAAGGATTCAGTTTCGGCAATCACTTCTTCATTGGAGCCAAATCTCTTTCCCTGGAACTTTCCCTGCCGATTTGACTCTGGAGTGTAGTGATGGATCCATGTTTCATCCATTGTCACATACCGCATCAACAAATCCTTTTTATTGCGCTGAAACAGCTCCAAACAGCCCGCTGAATCGTCGACGCGTTGCTAAAACGAGTCGACGTCGTGCGTCACTAAAACCACTATAACTTTTGAACTAAACGTCTGATTGTCATGAAATTTTGACACGTATCATTTGAAGGTTAGTACTTCCTAAAAATCATATGGATTTGTTAATAGTAGCGCCATTTATATGTCATCCTACGAACTTATTGAGTGATGTGTTGTATATATATATATATGTATATATATGTATATATATATATATATATAGAGAGAGAGAGAGAGAGAGAGAGAGAGAGAGAGAGAGAGAGAGAGAGATATCCGCATGAATAAATCGGTGACAATCTACTAACGCGAATGGTGGAATCATCGATGTAACCGGAGCTATCGGGATTGCTGCATTTATCACTGTTCAACGTTTGCGGAGGATTCAAGTATTTGCGCCTGAAACAAAAGAAGAGAGGAGGCTACAACGAGTGCGCGCGCACTAGCGGATGCAGGCACTTAACGAGCGCGATTAAAGATGCATTACGAGTTGATTACCTGTACATAATGAATCCAAGACTACCCATCGTACTGAGCAGGGCCACAGTCGCTAAACAACTGCCTGTAATAGCGGCTATATCCGCGGCGGATCTCGTCGAGCCTTGTTTGGCGTTGTCGCTGTTATTATCGGCAACGTAATCGGCAGACTGATTGTCTCCTTGCACTTGATTTCTCTGGAAGTGCTGCGTGATGAAAGTGTTCCTCGCTCTGCTCAAACGAGTGGATTCGCTCACGCCAACTGCACATTTCATTCGAGTGCACGTGTCATCGTTACGAAGAATATCAGACCCGCGTCTACTAAATAGCACGTTAAATTAAATATGTATAACTGGAAACTAGAGCGAATTAGCAAATAAGCAAGCAAGCAAGCAAGCAAAGGAAGAAGGAGACCGCGACACATGCTGCTAATGGCGTGAAAGTCGACAAGTTAATTGAAACAATCATGAATGTTAATCACAATCACTCGAGGTGGCATTATCATAATCATTAACTGGGGACGCCCCCGACATTGTTCCCGCTGTAATAATAATAATAATAATAATAATAATGCTCGCATGCATTTTCGCTCGAGAGATTCACCTTCGAGGATCGACGCCGCTGTAGCGAGATGCTGCGGCGTCTGGGCCACTTCCTCGCCAATGTCGACGTCATCCTCGGACCGATTGAACGTCCTGATCGCGGCGTTACCAGCGCCGCCGACCGCCAAGGACGCCATGAAGGCGGACCTCGTCCTGTTCAACATCGGGTCTGCCTTGGGCATTTCCTCCTGCAGAGGTAACACCGTGAGATCCTCGACCTCGTCGAAGCTGACGTTTCTGCCGGCGCTGTTCGACTGGTTCCTCTCTTCCTGGTCGTACTTGGATCCAGCCGACTTGCTCGTCGTCAGGACCCACCTGATTTTGCTGTCCTTCTTCGAAGTTGAATTCCTGATCCTCTCGACGTTTTCGGCCGCGCGCTGCGGCACAATTGTGCCAGCGGTCTCGACGTTGGAAGTGTTCCCGCGGAAGGTCAATTCGGCGGCGGCGGCGGCGGTTTCGCCGTCGCGGATGCTCGGCTGCTCGACGGTGCTTCCAGCGCGTTCCAGCGACGCCGAGGTGACGGTGGTGATGGGTTGCCTGTCTAACACGACGGCCGTGTTTGTCTGCGGGTAAAGGCCGATGGCTTTGGCGATGCGGAAGCTCGCTCTGGCTGGTGACTTGGAAGTACGATAGGTATCCTCGCTCTCGATCGACGAGGACGTCAGCTGCGGCTGGTGAATGGGGTCCGATGTGGTAGACGCCAAGGGGCTTCCGAGGATCACTGTGCGAGAGAATAACGCGTGCTTATTATTAGTGCTACAAGTGCACAAGACACGATTTATTATATGATGCACATCGCACAAGCATTGTAAAAAGCATTGTCTCGCGAGTCTTTCCGGTCGAAAGCCTCGGGCTCTCGGACGTAGGATGTGCTGGAGAAGAGGACGATCTACTATCTAACGTTTGTCTTGTTTCACCTCTCTGCTGACCTCTCTCTCTCCCTCTCTCTCTCTCCCTCTCTCTCTTTCTCTCTCTCTCTCTCTCTCTCTCTCTCTCGAGCGAGCGAGCGAGCGAGCGAGTCTAAGGACGCGGAATGTGTGTCTAGTATAAGAAACGATTGTACCACCGCCACTGGTGCAAGTAGTAGGTACCGCGGTGTGCGTGCGTTCGAGAGACAGGCTTATCGTCGTGTTAATGTGCTAAATGTTCAAATGTCCGACCCGATGACTCACCGAGAAATTGCGCAGTAACCCAGAACCAATGCATCCACCAATGTAGCGTCATTGCGTCATCTGGGTGTATCTGCAAATACAAATGCGTCCATGTAACCGCGAGGACAATTAGTCGTGCTCGTTTCAAGTCGACTCAAGTCAAAAGTCAAAATCGACAGACGCGCCGTTTCACGATGTAGATGTAGGTTCGCACGAACGAACGAACGGACGAGCGAGGACGTCGATCATCTCGTCATTGGGCGGGAGGAACTATTGAGAACCGGTAAGGTGAGTAATCCGCGGTCGGTCGACTTGCTCGATCACGGAATCCGTGAGTCATTGTGGCGGAGGAATTTTAAAAGCGAGATACCGCGCGCCGCACAGTTCCCGCAGTTCGTAAGGTAAGCGATTGCGGCGATTGCGTGCTGAGGTAACCGACTGCGCGAAGAACCGTCCGAACGAAATATCCTTCGTACTCGTACTCGAAGACTGATTTGTCGCGCGCGACATTGTCGCAAAATGTTAAATCGGATTTAACCGATTTAACCGATATCCGAGAGGCGCGGCGCGTCATCGATGCGTCGCCGAATTCTCCGGCAAGGATCGCCCAGCATTCACAACGCGGCTGCTCGTACTCGTAATCTCAGGTCTAACTCGCACGGCCGGCGGCATCCGCGATTCAGAAAGAGAGAGAGAGAGAGAGAGAGAGAATCGCCTGCGGCGTCTCGGTGCGTGTGCGGTGCGTGTGCGTATGCTAGCAAGATGGCAAAACGCGCAACGAGTCTGCTGATGCAAAAAGGGGAAGGGAAGCAAAATTCCGTTGCGAGCAAAACACCGTACGAGATGTATACGCAACGCGGACTAATCTCATTCCTGCGTGCCATTTTCTTTTACGAAAGATGAAAACAACATCATCGTCATCAAGTGGCGTCGCATTTGATGGTACAAAGTTAGGCGGGGTAGCGTGCGCGTTCACGGGTTTGTGCGCCAAACCTGCGTGAACCTGCCTGCGCAAAATGTAGCGGGAAGATGCGATACGTCGAACAGCGGGATATAGTGCGACGGTCACGCTCTGTTGAGCGTGCAACCAGTTGCGACTCCTGCGACGTGCCGCGAATAGTATTTCGCGGCGTTGGCCAAGGATCTCGACCTACACGCCGCTTAACTACAATCGGAAGGAAACACGTGACGATTCGTACGGCGCGCGCGCGCACACACACACACACACACGAGCGAGTCAAGGAAAAAATTGCACCGGGGCACCAAAGCCACGCGAGATCGACCGCGAGAGAGACTCCACTCGTGGAAACATAAACGCTTCCAACGTTTCTCGTTCTTCTTACAGGAGCGGACAAAGGCGTGACCGCGTGAAAAAGAAACGCCGCGCAGCGGTAGCACAGGTAGTAAATCCTCAAAAATCCCGGCTGCTGAAGCGAGACGCGTATCCGAGCGGTGCGCCTTCAACAAAATGCCGCGGTCGCAGATTTAAGGAGCGTGTGAGACACACTCGGTGTACAGTTAGCCAAGCCGGTCATGCTCCCCCGGTTGTGACCAGTCGCACCTTTGCGCGGATCCGGCTCTCGGTGGTGAGCCAAAGTCGGCAGGAAAGAAACGGCGTCGCAATATTCTCTCTCTCTCTCTCTCTCTCTCTCTCTCTCTCTCTCTCTCTCTCTCTCTCTCTCTCTCTCTCTCTCTCTCTCTCTCTCTCTCTCTCTCTCTCTCTCTCTCTCTCTCTCTCTCTCTCGTCGAATTTAGACCTGGCAGTGAGCGACGAGAGACAACAAAACGTCTTGTCTGCCTGATAACGCACCCGCCGCCACCACCACGAGTGATTTCATTCACATGCGTGTGTCCGCTGCGGCTAAAAATCTTTTTCGCGGCGACGCTCTCTCAACACGCGCGTTCTCGATAAACGAAGTGACCGCAAACGTCAAAGAGGCGAGAGACAGGAGAGATCGAAGACTTTCCTCCTCCAAAATAAAAGCCTCCCACTTGTTGTACGGTTAAAAAAGATATTCGAATAAACGTGCACTTTGCTGACGCGAATACCGTCCGAGTGCACGGTGTATTTTGTGTAGTTTGTTTAATAAAAATATCCTCCGACACAAAGAGCAAGGGATAATACTCGACAAGCTGGTTACGCGCTGGACGTCAGCTGGACGTCAGCTGGACGTTCGCGCGGAAATCGCGCCAACACGTGGGCGATACTTTTTACGCTGTTGTTTAGCAAAATTGCGGCTCAATGACGGCCCTATGACGGCTGCTGCTGAAACCCCGTTGGTGTCCGCGAGTAAAACACCGGTCCGGTCATACTGCCGACGCCCCCGCAAATTTGCGGAGGATTGAATGCGGATTTAGTTTATAGCCGTTTGTAGCCGCGGCATTACAGGACGCGGCGTTTCATTTCGGATAAATAATGCTGGGTCACGTTAGCGCACCGATACGATCTATCCCTTCGAACACGAAACAATCGGAACGTAGCGCGCGCACGGAGCGTGTTTCGCGCAAGCACAATCGCCAACTTTGCTCGCACCGTAAAACGTGAAATTGTACACGCACAGCGCACAAAGTGCGAGACAAGACAGGTAGAGATAGATAGATAGATGGATACAGAGAGAGAGAGAGAGAGAGAGAGAGAGAAAAAGAGAGAGAGAGAGAGAGAGCAAAACGCACTGCGTGTATATCGCGTACGTATCATGTACGTTACGTAACTTCGTTTCCGCGAGTGAGCCTCGCCCTACTTCGCTTTTAGACCGAAAGGACGCGAGATGTGCCTAATTACAACCGCGCATCCCATTGTTAGCGTCGTTCGCGTTAGCGCGTTCGAATTGATCGCACGTAAATCGCTTCGACGTGGAAAATGAGACAGCCTTCGAACGGATAATTACATATGCGCGCGCGTGTGAAACTCTGTAGAGATCGAGAGAATCTCGTCGGATGCCTCGGACTGGGAAAACTGTAAAAATTCAATATTAAACACCCACGGAGCGCCGAGCAGCGCGGTTCGGCTTTCGAGCGGGCGGAAGCTCGCGCGCGTGCGTGTAATTGCGCGAAATTGCGCAGTTTTGAAAATCAACGCGCAAACTCGCGCAAACTTATATATATATATATATATACCTGCCGAATCCGAAGAGGAAAACGCCCGTCTTCACGTACACGTACGCGCGTTACGTTCTACTTAGTTTTCAGACCAAATAGCCAATTGATTTAATGGATTGGCTGCTATTGCGTGCCGCTTTACGTGCACCTCGTGAAAGCTCGTGAAAAAAAATGGCCGTTTTGCGGTTCGCGCCCGGCGGCATGAGCGAGAGGCTGAGGTTCAATAACCGACTGCAATCGAATCGACAAAACTAGTCCGTGCATCGCGCGTACAAAGTTCGTACAAATCATCGAGCGCGATGATACCGCGTTTAATACGCGGTCAAAGTTTCCGCGAGAGAGTTCCGCATCATTTTTATCGTACACACGTTTGCCGCAACGTCGCGAAAGTCGCGAGATCCGCTCACCTCAGCTCCGTCCTACACGTGACGAGAGCCTTTAGCTTGTTTATCCGCGGTCGAAAGACGAACGATGCGACTTACCGAGCGTGATATCATTATCGTCGAATTACGCGATCGGGTCACGTAGCCGCGTCAACCGCGAGGCAGGTAATTAATCCTCCCACCTATTCGCAACAATTTTCACAAACCTTGACTTTGACTGGCGGCCACGCAGCGCGCGCACGCGATGTGCCTGCCGAAAATTCGATGAAAAATCGCGCGCGAGTCCCGTCGTCCCGTCTCGATCTCCGTCTCATCACCGTTTGTTCCTTTCGATTTCCTCAGAGACCGAACATTCGGAAGAGAGAAAAGTGCGCGCGCGCGCGCGATCGTTGGAGCGCAGCCGGTAGTAGAAGAATCGTTTCTCAATCGAGGCGCGATCTCCGATCCGCGACCGCGGTAAAAAGTGGTCTACCAGTGTCGAATGGAAACTCGTTTCTTCGCACTTGATTCACTTTCCATGTATACTTCGGCCGAAGGTTAATCCGAGTTGGACATTCAACGTAAGAACACTCGAATTACATCAGCGAGTGTCTCCGGTGTGTCTCGTTAATTACGCCCTCCTGCCTTCCACTCGCGAGTTATGTTATATCTGTGTTGTCTGTGAGACGCTTTATCGCGTCCCGGAGGGACTCGGGGAGGACGAGAGAGAGAGAGAGAGAGAGAGAGAGAGAGAGAGAGAGAGAACATCGATGAGTGCGAGGTTCGTGGGGAGAAAAGGAGAGAGGGAGACTAATGAGGACTTGGAAGTGAATTGCGACTCGCCGACGAGTCTTGGATAATTCACGGCGAAATATCACGGGGAATTATCGAGCGATCTACTACGCATTGGCGCGGCAAAGGAAGCTAATGGCCGTCAACTGATTATTCGGCTCTTCACTTCGGTCTTTTCCGATGTTGTTAACAAAGGTAATTTCGCGCGGTCCATTCCGCGCGAAAGGGACATTCGTTTCAGCGATTCAACGAATGCGGCGACGCAACGTCCTTGTATCTCTCTCTCTCTCTCTCATCAAGCGTCCCTGTGTGAAGGGGCGTCCCACTTCAGGCCCACAAGACGATTCTATTCTGTCTTTCCGCGTGTTTCATTACCGCGCTCTTTTTTTCTTTATTTTATTTTTTTTTTTCTTTATCGGACGGTGAAAGATTACCGCATGCAAACTACCCGAGCACAACTGCGCGAAATGTTTTATCGGTGCATTTTTCCGTCGGCAAAGCGATAAAGAACAGCCGCGCTGTACCTTACATAACGCGCGCAGCAGACATCACACGCAGCAGACATTCACAGCGAGTGTAAAAAATGATTTGTCACCTTGCAAGCTTTGGTTACTCGCGCCAGATCGAGAATCGTCTCTCATTCGACTCCACCGAGTGTGTTGTGCGAAAGATGAACGACTAACGCCACGCGACAATATATAGGTATATCGGAGTGCTTTTTATATGTATTTAGTATATGTCTTCTGTATGATTCTTACTGCTTAACTGCTCAATGTACCACACGCAAAAAGGAAAGAAAAAGGACCCGAAGAAACGCAGTCGGCGCAGTAGGATCGTG